AATAAATGTCTAGAATTTTCTTACGAGGCTGTAATAAAACCTCATGTATTCTGTGTTGTAGATAAGAAGTTTCTTCCAAAAGATTGTGTGTTATTTGTTCCCTAGTCTGCTCCTACCCTATCTCTCACCTCATATCATGATTAGTTTATGCTATCTGTTAATTTCCTAACTTTTTTAGTACTATGTAAATCATTGATCCCTCTATTTATTAGATACTAATTTGAACGGTTGTTGTGACTTCGTTTGTGACTGGAAATGTGTGTGAACATGAAACAACTAAGTTTGATATTTCCGTCAAAAAATTTCCCTCATGAGATAATCGAATTTCTTGTATAATATAAATTGTTTGATAGTAAGCAATCAAAATAACGGATTGGATTTTTTCTCATTATTGACTGTGTTAGTCAGCGTGTCTAATGATTAGCTATCCTAGAATCTCCGCATAGGCGGGGTGATGGATGTGCAATACTGAACAGTCCCTATATTTGAACAAAACAGCTCTCCAGCTTTTTTTAACAACTGACTAAATAAGGCCAATTAGTGATATTATGCATAAATATTCTAGTAACCAACACTTGCGTGTTAACTTATCTTCTAGAAACATTTAGTTGAAATTCTATATTTAAATCTACTCCTCTTCCACTGTTTATATGTACAATATCTAAAAAATATGTCTTCAGCACATCAAGTTTGTTTTTGTTATATTGAGTCGTTGCAATTGTTGTGCCGGAAAATGCGCTGATCACTTATACTCGGCAATTCCCACGATGCGGAAGTAAGAACATAAGACTGGTATAAGTGATGATTTATTAGCCTCAAAACACGACAACGACGATGATCAAAATAGTTTAAAATACACTGATTTATATATTGATTTTACACCCATTTTGATTAATAATTAGGATTAAATCACATACTCAGTTATAACAAATCACAAACTGAGTATAGTTCATGTCGATGGAATACAAGATTATCTTATATTATACAGAATGAAATATCATGCGACAAAAGTTTTCTTGTATTCATTTGAACAACAATTTACACTAAATATTTGACTGAATCTGGTCTTTATATATGTATATAACCAAATCAATTTCTCTAAGACAAAGTAATCTCTGTCTTATAGAGCCGGGTGCAAATACTGTAAAAGTTCAAATCGGCGAGACTATAACTTATGGACAACCTTCAAGAAATTCAACTACATACTAGCATAAAAAGAGGGTGATAAATTAGGATTAGATTTGGAGTTTTCATCACGAATTGACATCAGATATAATGCCAAAATGCTGTCTTACCATATAGATGAAAAAACTTCGCATCGACAGACATAAGTAAGTAGTATGTAACACCAATCGTGTGTGGAAAATCTGGCTGCCGAAATCTAAGAAGATCGAGTTGAAGTAAACAGAAAGGTTAATAGAAAGGAATTGTGAACTGGAAGAATCATACAAAATGTAAAGGACAATGGATGAAAGATTTACAAATCAAGTATTTAATGTATAGTTCTCATGTTTTGCGAAGATATTTCATAATTTTGTATTAAATAATAGATTGGTTGTCCCTCACTTGAGTTCCTGTTTATTACACTATCTTTGATTTCATTAATTCCCGTATAAATTACAGTCTCGCCATTGAATCTAGTTCGTTCAGATCTTTCAGAAAACATTGGTATTTTTGTACCAGTATTAGGATTCACTGGTTTGCATTTACGACTTCACGACCATCATCCAGTCTCATCGATAAGATCTATCGTACTCCTAAAATGTCTAAAATCTACCGGTCATAATTCACCAAAGCATCTACAATTTATCTCACATGTATTTACCTTAAGTTTCAATGATTCTTCAACTCATAATGAATGATGGCGAATAGTTTGTTTCTTTGTAATTCTCCATCGACCAGTTAGATGTTCACCTGCACATGGTAGGATTCAACTTGTAGTTTTTTTATTTTTAAGAAAAAGTATTGAGATAGTGTGATCCAGATTGAAAATTTTTCGTCAATTTTTCCACAGTATTAAATAAAATAACGTATATCAGGTTGAGTTGATGTGCAACTACCTAAAAAAGTTAAATGTATTGATTATATCATGACAGCTTGAAAGTTTTCTCTAAAATTACACAAATGGTAAATCAACAGAAGCTACAAACTTCCTATCACTTACTGTTTCCGCTCCTTTTTATTAATGCTCTTTATCTTAAAGTTCATATGTGGTTTCAGAATTCGCATACTTAGGTGACTAACTACCTGCTTCTCATATACTAAATCTAAAAAAATATTATTTGCCGATGTTAACTACTTTTTTTGTTTCTTCGAAATCCCTGAGAAAAACTACTGTTTCCAACATAAATCAATCTTATAAGTTTACGTGCTAGATTCCAACTGAAATCCTCTTTAGTTTATTTGTTTTGACTGAATTCTTACGTAACATAGTAATCGTAATAAACAATAACATGATTATACGTCACGCCCCACCAATATTGATGCTATGTTATTATTCGGTTAATTTTTTTTCACTGTATTTTCATAGCCCTCGTATGTGCAGTAAACTTCAAAGAGATGTTTTATTATTTCTGCGGATTCTAATTGATATCAGTAGTATCGTATAGGAGATAGACAGCATCATGACCTCATACCTCATTACGACATTGTATTGAACAAGCTGATTACATATATATATTCAGTCAACATTGAAATTTGACTGACATTAGAAGTATGAATCGTTAGCCATACCTCATTGCTTCAAAGGTTAGATGCTCACTTGAAGGCTTCAAAGTTTTTGATTCAATCCTTGGAAAGATCATGTGTGCGTTGTTGAGAATACCCTCATACTAAGGCAAAACAGCTGTTAAATCCTTGCTGGTTTCTAATGGTTGTGCTATATCTGCGTTGCTTATTACTTGTACTTGATAAAACGAAAAAGCACTATAATTTCCACGACGCGAAGTAAGAACACCAAGACTGATGCAAATGAAAATCTATTAACCCCAAAATCACGACGACACAGTAGAAAATGTACTCATATATTGATTGTAAACCCGTTTTGATTATTAATTAGAATTAAATCAAATATATGGAAAACATCCAAAATTATAACAAAATCACATGCTGAACGTTAATTTAATACAAGAATATCGTATCTTGAATAAGCGTCACAATCAAATAAATTAATATTATACCGAATAAAATATCACACTGGAAAACAAGAATACTATACTAAGCAGTCATCACATTGAATTAATAGTGTGCTAGGTTTGAAACTATCACGAGTTCACTTAATCTGCGAACGATAACAAAGACTCAGTGACCGAAGACCAGTAAGCTAGCTTTTTGACGCGTCCCAGCCCCGCTAACTAGAGAGAGAAGTCCAAGCTTGGAATGGGAAGTATATTCTGCAAAACAGCCAGAAACGAGCGATAACAACAAACATAATTCAAAACGTATATATACAGTGTAAAACCGTCCATGGGGAGAGTTACCAAATAGCATACTGAAAGACGCAACGGACCAATAGCGTTCAAGATATTTCCCAGTGGGAAATACGACATGAAGGTGACAAGAGCTCCTTTGGTCGAGAACAAAGAAATTTAAATTTTCTAAATAAAATTACGAAATTGGGTCCTTTCCCAAGTGAGCTCTGAGGATCTAACGACCCCAACATAATGAAAGTAATGTTGACCAAAAATCACAAGTCAATTGTGATTTTGCCTTTTTATTCTGTTGTCTAAATGAAGTTAATTTACATTGGAACCGTTTTTCATATTCAAACATCTTCAGTAATCGCCCACACATATTTTGATACTTTTCCCTCTGTCTGTTGTTTTTCGATCATATCTCATTATCAAAGAAATGTGTACAGAAAAACAAAACAAAATTAGATGTGGAAAAACGTCCGAGTGTTCTACTGGTTTTTCTTAGTTTCCATGATATGTGACAAAGTGTGACAGCATAGACTAATGTACTTTTGAACGAGATTTTGTTTGTCTTAGGGGAAAGCAGTATGTGACACAGTTTTGCGTAATCACTACCGTTTTACAATTCACAACTTCAAATCTGGTAGTCGTTAACCTAGCAATATCAAATGTGTGATCAATGTTCTTGTTTCAAGCATGTTAAGTTTTTCTTGAGTAACTGTCATTTGATTATATCAATTAGCATTTATTCTGTGTGTGTATGTGTGTATATTATCTTCAAGTAATTGGCATAGGACTAGAATTAATTTATTTGCCATTGTTTTAGTTTATGTAAAAATAGTTTGGATGCTTATCGTCAACATCTGTAATTGCGACAGATAGTATAGGGGTACTGTCCAAGGTATACTGGTGGTTAACATTACCCAATTACCTACATCGAGGAATGTTATTTCCTCTTGGGAAACCTGAAAATGATTGACTGTTTGATGAACCTAAGCGACAACTGTTTGAACCCAGTTTCTATAGTATTACTACCGAACATTTTCAACCCTATTATTGGCACCAGAAATTCGTAGCTTCAATATTTTTTAACCCTTTAAATTCTATGTACCAAAAGCAGGATCGCCGAAAATACTAGCTATCTGTGGGAAACACTATAACGGCACAGCACCTCAATACAGTTGGTAGTACAACCTATCAGCTAAAGTAGTTACTTTTGATAATAACGCTATCTAACCGACCTTCCTGATATCTTAAGACATTAAGGCTGAAGTACTGAAACCGATGTAGTCCTACAGTTGTAATTGATAAGTCTAATCATTATGTCAAGTGGCAATTACTGTTTATTACACAACCATGAAATAACAGTCAAAGATTCGTTCGTATGGTGCTAATCAATGAACAAAATTGATATCAGGTTAAGATATTATGATTTTGTAATCCGAAATCAAATTTACCCAGTGATTTGTATACGGAATAAATCAGTAGCTTATAGCACATAATATTTTGTATCTTTCTACAAAATAGTATTTTAAAAAACGTTTTTATCAACATTACCCTCCCATCCATATCGCTTCATATTTGCAGATGGTATTGGATACATCTAGAAATTTTCATCATTATCGTACTCTCCTATCAGCTAATAATGTATCGGCTCCAATGTTACCCTATCTACCATTGGTATTGAAAGATTTAACATTTATCCATTTGGGTAATCCTTCTTGTACTCCAGATGGATTGATAAATTTTGTCAAATTACGAATGCTTGCTAAAGAGGTTAGTTAAATAGTTATTATTATTATTATCTCTGCTTTTTTCCTAGCTGTTAATGATTTGGTTCAGCCTATTTCAGTACTGCTAACAACCCCATTATCACAACGGTACAATTCAGAACTATGTTTAGAAAATATATTATTTATTTATAACAATCTACCCAATGCTCAATTTATTCGAAAATATGTTTAGAAAAATTTAATACTCAGTCTTTGATTAGGGTTGACACTTATCTGTTAAATATTGAACTAGTTCAGTTCCTTACTGTACTGAATCATAAGTTCGACTGAAGTTTTGATATAATAACTTAGTGGGTTACTAGGGTATCCGTAGACAATAATAATATTTGTAAAGAGTTCGGAATTAGATCAGAATGGCTCCATAACATCTAGTTTTCAATGAGGTGATAAATTGATCATTTTTTATACATATCACCCTAATTAATTTTAGATCACTTAAGCTGAATATGTAACAGTTGCTAGTCATGTCAAATAAATCTTTTTACACTTTGGTTTAAGCTTCAAACTTTACCTTTTCAGACAAGTAAGCCCACATCAACTACGTGGGATCTGGTACAAATCTATATCTATCCAAGTCATCATTCTGTAAATACTAAGTATCTAAAATAAAACCAACACTGGTGGTAAGTTAGGGTTTAGGTGATAGAGCAAAGAAAAATTAAAAATTTAGCACCTATGCCACTACAGTCAACCTCTTATGAGATTGATCGTGATATTTTAATGTGTTGTATTTATTTAACCAGGAATGTATTCTCTGTATTACAATTATTTTATTAAAAACTTGTTAATAACAAATCAATTATTGTTGAAATGTGTGTTCTTATAAACAACTAGTCAGCTATTGATATATCTTAACAAAATGTGTTTTACATCAAAAGAACAAATAGTTTAAACAACAAAACATTGTTCAACTACGATGAAAATGTTTCTGTTTAAAAATAAACTTCACTCTTGACAAGTTGATTGAGTTTTGTTTAAATTACAGAAGATTTAATAAGATTAACTATAAATGAATATATATACGTAACGCAAATGAAATGTAAGTGCTGTGCGTTAGTATACGTTTGTGTGTATGTTTGCGATCGCATATCTGTATTGACAAAAAGAAAAGTGAAGTATTTACTTAAATAGTGCTTCTAAATGTCTGTGTGTGTGTGCATGTTTGTATATTTTATATCCAAGAAAACAATAAATACACTTGAAATAACATAAAATAATGAAACGAGTTGAACGAAACAAACGTCACGTCGCATAAGCTAGTCAATTGTAGTTTGTTGCGCAAGTTAAGTTATGTGTTATTGACATTATTAACATTAGTATTACTGCCACAACTACCAAATCTACTTGACAGGTTACAATGGTTAATTTTCAAGCGTAAAAATATAACTGTTTATTAAAACACGATATTCATAAACACAGAAATGTTTTTTCGATTGATCAATAAATACCGTAATTGTTTCATTGCCCCTATCATTTAAGTTTAGATTGATTACACATTTTATCCATCCACTTTCAACTCTACAAAGTCAATTTGTATCTTTTCACAGCCATGTATATATGATATCTTTAACTATTTTCTTCGCAGAAAGTTGTTGATTATTCCCTATTTCTACCCCCTGCGAGCTATCACTGTATACAAGTGTCACTTCCATCATTGTACCATAGAACATTAACTTATAATTTACTGTCAGACCCGTTTAACAGAACAAAGTCAAGAGATTGATATTTAATTCCGTTGAATAAATTTAAGAATTTAGAAAAGTCAAAGCACGAATCTTAGTCAAGACAACAACAACAATTTTTAATATATATGATGATTGACTTAAGTTATTTGGTAAAATATTGGGAGTCAAGTGAACAATCATATTGGTGTTATTAGTTGAAAAATGGAATCTTTTTGGTCATTTAAAAATCTTTGTACGTATTTATTAGTCTGGCTCAAATTTCAATTGATCTACAAAATCGACCAAAATAAGAAATAAGACAACTACACATTGATTACATTGGATCATAAATAGTCTTGTTATAATAATGAATTTACCAAAGTTTGAAAGTCTATAAGTCACTAAATTTCAAGTTTTTGATTTCATTTAGATGTCTAGACCTACATTATTGGGAAATTCCTTATTGGAATGGACCAACTGTCCCAATTCTTTCATAGTATAAGCGGGTTGTGAAAATCGTTAAATCTGTACTTTTATATCGCAAACTGATTTTATGTAAACAACTAATAAAACCCAGAAAGCATTGGACTGTTGTTTCATCCTAATACACGACTTATCAACAGTGGGCATTCACGACCACATCAGCAATAAAACCCTCGAACTCCAAGCCTCACGGCGAATGCTTAATTTTCAGACCACTCATACTTTGTCGTTTTTAGAACCAGTTTATGTCCCAGCCACACATGGTGTCTTATTTAAAAACACAAAACAATTGTAGACATGTGTCAATTCACCAACCTTTATCTCTATCCAATCTTGATTTCTTTACATATTTGTTACTAGAAAGAACCACTTTTCGTATTAATAAGCTTGTTCAGTTTTTTTCTATTCCTAAAATGCTATTAAGATACTTGTATTGTGGCCCGACCGTAGCTGCTACCTTGACGTGGTGGTCAGGCTAGCCTATTGTGTTGACCCAAGCGAGCTATATTGGCTAGAACATATGTTCCTGTAGTTTCTACCATGCCAGGCAGGTCTATTGGAGAACGGCAAAGCTAAAAGCCGCAACTCAAGGTTTGAGGGCGAAGTCGTATTGCTGACAGTAGAGGGGAGTAACAGCAGTAAGGTGTTTCCCTCCGACAACCAGCATCTTCAGCGATGCTGCCTTCTCACAAGAAAGGGAAGGGCTAGAAAAGGTTGACCCTAAAAATGTCACACCTCACCTTACCTCACGGATTTCCGTCTCCGGCGGTAAGGCATTTCGAAAAACGGAGCTAACACATTAAAAACCTTCCACGAAAAGGCCGTGCACGACCAACCTCAAGGAGTTGACCTTTGGGCCCCACCGTTACGCTGCCAGATCGTTAAGACCAACACTAATCCAACTTCCTTTTCAAGTTCCTCAAGAAATACCTTTCCACGGTGTGGGCAGCCGGGAAGTGACACCAGCCCTCATACCCGTAACAGCACACGAGACCAAGTTGGTCACATTCAAATACTTCTTACACCTCCTAATAACTCTCTTATCTCCACAACTAACCCTCCTCACGTCCTTTTTTCACCTCGAATCGCTAGGGCAAACGATTCGAGTACGCGGAACGTTATTCCTGGTTTCCTGAAATCACGCTCTAAACTACATGTAGGAGCTTTTAACGTACGAACACTGTGCCAAATAGGACAGCAGGCTTCCTTAGCTAGGACTTTACAACCTCGCGCCATCGGTGTGTGCTGCGTCTCCGAAACGCGCATGCAGGATCCGAGTAGCGTCATTCATTTGACCTCACCATGTCAAAACAAAAAACCAACTCGATTCACACTTCGTGTATCTGGAAGCCCAGATGCTGCTTCGCTTGTGCACTGTTCGACTAAATGGAAGAGTAAGGACTCGGAAGGACAGAGACACTCGTCGTTGCCTCTTCGTCGTCTCTGCCTATTCTCCCACTGACTGCAGCTCAGATGATATAAAAGATGAGTTTTACAGAAAGCTTTCCAACCTTCTCCGAAAAGCTAGGCGTTCTGATGTAGTAATAGTGGCTGGTGACTTTAATGCTCAAGTAGGCAAACTAAGCGAAAGGGAAAGACACCTGGGTGGATCTTATAGCATCGTGGCTCAAAGAACAGATAATGGCGACCGTCTGTTGCAGCTATGCTCAGATAACCGCCTCTTTCTTACAAATACTAACTTTAGGCATAAGGAAAAACATCTTTTAACATGGAGACCACCTAATTCGTCCCAACGTTGGACCCAAACAGGTCACATCGCTATCAGCCACCGATGGAGGGGCTCCATAGAAGACTGTCTCTCATTCTGGAGCACATGCTTAGATTCAGATCATGCTCTAGTACGAGCGCGTATCTGTCTGCGTCTTACTGGACGTAGGAAAGACGCTGCAAGGAAACCTCTTAGGGCCCTACTTAATGATAGTCAAGCTAAGAGTATATTTCAGGAACAATTAGAAAAACGGTTACGCAGCCATGTAAGTGATGCTCACTCCAAGACAACATGGAATTATATCCGAAAAGCTGTGTAAACAGCATTGATATCTGCTAGTACAGTGAACCATAGGTTAGGGAGAAACACTGGATCTCAGCAGCATCTACCGCACTGATAGATGCTCGGAAACTCATTCCATCTGGCTCTGAACATAATGAAGAGCGGAGTCAGCTTAAGCGCAAGCTGACAAGAAGTCTACGCAATGAGGTTCACTTGTTCACTTAGAAATATGCTGAGGAGATAGTTTTATTTGGCGAAGACGCTGACAAAATGCAGAGTCTTCTGACCACTCTAAGCAACAATGCAGGCATGTTCGGGATGCGATTCTCCCCCTCGAAATGCAAAATGTTGCTTCAGGATTGGGTTGCATCGACACTCGAACTAATGATAGGGAGTGAAGTAATTGAGCGTGTCGATCGCTTCACTTATCTTGGAAGTCTCATCAGCCCTTGTGGTCCGGTGTGTGACGAAATCTCAGCACGGATACAGAAGGCTCGACTAGCTTTTGCCAACATGCGTCATTCATGGCGTAGGCGAGATATCCGTCTATCAACCAAAGAACAGGTTTACTGTGCAGCAGTTCGTTCCGTCCTACTTTATGGCAGTGAAACATGGCCGATAAGAGTAGAGGATATTCGTAGGTTACTAGTATTTGATCATAGATGTCTTCGAAATATTGCTCGTATATCCTGGGACCACCGAGTAAGTAATACAGTTGTTAAGAAACGGGTACTAGGTAAGGATGGCAAGTCGATTGATGACGTAGTGAAACTTCATCAGTTGAGATGGCTGGGATACGTGTTACGTATGCCCAACCACCGACTGCTCCGACATGCAATATTTTATGGTGTAGTAGTAGGTTGGAAGAATGCTAGGGGCGGCCATACCAAAACACGTCACAAACCCATGAAGTCACTGACAAGTGGACTGAGTCATGTTGTTAGGTGTATACTACTTGTTTGGGGACCGCGAGATGATAGCAACCGATGGTTAGAGACCCTGAATGGCATGGCTCAAAATCGTTTGCAATGGCGCAGGTGCATACACTCTTTGTGTTCTCCCAAATTTTGATCTCCTTGTCTCTTTTTTTCTCTTCCCAAATTTATTTCACTGTATTATACTCTTTAAATAACATCTCCAAGCATTAATCTTCCCGATTACTGCTTATACTCTTACTATTTCTACCACTACGGGATTTGAATCGACAGCTGCATCTCTGTGCTAATGTGGTGTGGCAACTCGAACTGATTTACGTACGTACGAAGTTCTACGTTGTTATCGACTAACTGACTGACTTGTATTATGACATATTTAAGGGAACAGAAAAAAGATACCGACATAATTAAATACAATGACTGAATTATTTTTCTCAGATTTTATTGTTTTCTTTCAACTTTCAGTGAACCTACTGCATAAGCTGTAGTATGTCTTCCGTGCTGTTTTTATTTCAATAAATCAGCATATTTGTTTTTGTGTATTGCACGGACATATTCTCCCATGCACTGACGTTCACTGTTTACATTTACGTCAATATACAAGTGTTTAATAAATGTAAAATAATTTTCAGTTGATATCGTTTTGAGATGCAACTACATTGAGTCCGATTCTGTGCATAAACTCTACGGTAGAATTATCAAACGCAAACTAAAACACTGGAAATCATCGTGTGACTATGTAACAAGACCATGTCTTTGAGAATCTTGTGTATTTGAAAAATCTGCGTTGTACTCGTCGCCATGAAAATGCTTCATAAGTTCTCTCTGCCTAAGTGTTTTTGCTGTTTCACAGTTATTTGTACATGAAATTTTCCTTTAAATGTAACTATTTCTCATTCCTACGTTGTCATTGTGGTTGCTGTTGCTCATGTTGTTTTCGAACATCTTTTATTCTTACTTCCTAGGTTCGTGCCATTTGTCGGATGTGTAATGTTGATTATGATTTATGCACTACTCCATATCGCTGTCGTACTGCTGGTGGTGTCGGACGTGCACTTGCTGGTGCCAATTTAAGCGCGCTTAAAGCAGTCGCTTCTGTTTCATCTATCAATCCAAAATCGTACTTTTCAAATCTTACATCGATGAATAACTCCAGTCAAACAAACCATAATAATAATAATAATAATAATAATAATAATAATAATAGTGCTAGTACAGATTCCAATCTGTCAGAACACGATATGGTTGAAGTGAAATTCAGTCATTCAAATTCTCTTGACGATAGTGAACAACAACGACGTGAAAGCACACTTAACTTTGATGCGAATCCTATGAATTCGACTAATGTTTCGAGTGGTTTTAACGGTGGGCAGTGTTTTTATTTTTTCTTTCCTTCCTATGATTTTCACTTAAGAGGCTTGTGAGTGGTTTGTGTTATAACTCTTGTCTTCTTACGGTTAATGACCCAGCTATTCCTATTGCTTAGTATTCTCGGACACCGATTCACTCGACAAGTCCCCAAATCAAAACACGGTTGAACAGGAATAAGATTATATTCCAAATAGCAAGTCAGAAGCATAATAGGGAAAAACGTCAGTATATTTATAGTTTTTTACATAAGAAGATTCCAGAATATTCTCCGACTATCGACTGTTGCTGATTGGATAAGAATCAGCCAATCAGCGTGCAGCAAAGCAATCATGCATTGAGCATGCTTTAATCTAGTCTATGTCCCGCTAACACCTCCCCTCTGAGCAGATTCGTAGGATCTGGTGCTAGGGTCCAACTGCAACCGAGTGACTGGCCTGTGCTTTCGATTAGTCCATCGTCTAGGCAATAAAGAAGTATCACTCTTTTCTTGCACAGAAACTGATGTGTCTATTCCCGGCGTTTTGATTTCAAAGGTGTCTAGCAGAACATCAAGAGGTAATCGATATTGAATCTTGTTGCTGGCTATCGAAGTTGCTTTCAATTGGTTAGCATGACGTACCCAAACTTCCGAGCCAACTGACACCTCGTAAACCACACTCCCCTTCTTTTTCAAGATCCGACCAGCTGTCCATGTAGGATGTTTCCCACGATAGTCCATAGCAAGCACTTTTTGTCCCACCGTGAACAATCGTCTTTGTGCCCCATGATGTCGGTTAAACTGATTCTCCATCGATAGGTTTCGTTGGGGTTCAATAGCTGGCGTAGGACGGATGACATCGAAATGTGTTCGTATCTTTCTGCCAAGTAGAGCTTCTGCTGGAGAGACCCCGTTAATTGTCTGAGGGTTCGGTGTAGAGCGATAAATAAACAGGAACCTCTCTAAGATATCTTCAGTGGTCCCTTCCCCTTTGGATTTTTTTAGAGCATTTTTAAATGTACTCACAAAGCGTTCCACTTGGCCATTTGATTGGGGATGGAATGGAGGTGTTCGGATGTGCTGGATTCCGTTCTGCCGACAAAATTGTGAGAAGATTTCGGACGTAAACTGTGTTCCGTTGTCACTAACTATCAATTCCGGGATTCCAAAACGACTGAATAGTTGACGTAGTTTACTGACTGTGCAGCTTGCAGTCGGGTGTTCCATGAGAAAAATTTCTGGCCACTTGCTATATGCATCAACCACCAAAAGGTAAGTTTGTCCATGAAGTGGACCAGCAAAGTCCAAATGTATACGCTGCCACGGTAACTGTGGTATTGGCCATGATTGCAGCTCTGCTTTTCGCGGTGCTTTTGTTGCTAATGCACATTTGGTACACGAACGGGATAGCTGCTCCAGTTGGGTGTCTAAATGCGGCCAGTATACATAACTTCGTGCTAGTGCTTTCATGCGATTTATTCCAGGATGTCCTGCATGCAACTGTTCAAGCACTGCTGGTTGTAGCTTCTTGGGAATTATGACACGTTCGGCAAACAGCAGACAGTCATCGATGATTGAAAGAGAGAGTCTTCGCTGGTAAAACTGTTGAAGCTCTGTGGAACTGATTTTCGAGGGCCACCCTTCTAGGTGGAACTTTCTAACTTCTTGTAGTGTTGGGTCTCGAAGCGTTTCTTCCCTGACTTCATCTGACGACACTGGAGTGTTTCGAATGGCATCTGCCATTATACTTCGTATTTCTGGGTCTACTGCTGTGGAGGCAATGATTATATCCTCTGGTCCAGGATGTTGAACTCCAATTAATCGGGAGAGAGCGTCAGCTTGACCGATAGTATTTGTCGACTGATACTTGATATTAAAATCATAACTCAGGAGCATTGTTGCCCAGCGCTGTAGTCTATTAGCCGTATAGACAGGGATTCCTTTCTTAGAACCAAAGATTGCAATCAAAGGTTTGTGATCTGTCAGTAGAGTAAATGTACGACCATAGAGCATTTTATGAAATCTTTTGACTGCGAAAATGATTGCAAGAGCTTCCTTTTCAATTTGGCTGTAGTTTCGCTCGGCTGGAGTAAGTGATCTAGCAGCATGGGCAATTGTCTTTTCTGATTTATCCGGAAACACGTGAGATATCACTGCTCCAACTCCATGACTAGAGGCATCAGATGCAACAACAATTTCCAAGCTGGGATCGAAGTGCGTCAAAAGAATCTTTGAGCTGAGCATTGATTTGACTCTGTCAAAAGATGCTTGACATTCTGCTGACCACTGCCAAGGTTTATCTTTCGATAGTAATTCATTTAGGGGACCTCTCACTCGATGCATTTCAGGCAAGAATGTGCTGTAATGACTGATTAACCCCAAGAAGGATCTTAATGAAGAAACATCAGTTGGTGCAGGCATCTTCTGAATGGCTTCGATGTTGGCAGGGTCTGGTCGGCGACCGTTCTTATCTAAGATAAAACCAAGGTATTTGATCGAATGCATGAAGAAGATACATTTTTCCTCACGTAGTTGGAAACCATACTCCAACACTCGGTTAAGGACTTGGTGTAGTCGATCAGAAAGTTCACTGTCAGTTGAACCCATAACTATGATATCATCTAGATAAGCTGCTGTACCAGGTATACCTGTTAGCATCGTATCCATTATTTGCTGAAAGATGGCGGGTGCGGTCTTGATGCCAAATGGTAGACGGTGTATTGAAATAACCCTCGATGAGTGTTAATGGTCAGAAGCTCTCTACTATCTTCATCTACTTCCACTTGGAGATAAGCATCAGAGAAGTCTATTTTCGCGAAACATGTCCCACCATTAAGCTTGGCAAACAGGTCTTCAGGAACTGGTAAGGGATATTGATATACATCTAATGCAGCATTTAAACCGGTCGAGAAATCGGCACATATGCGTATAGTCCCATTGGCCTTCTTAATCACTACGATCGGTGCGGCCCATGCAGAGTAGTTAACTGGTCGGATTACACCAGCCTGTTGCAAGCGATTAAGTTCCTGGTCGACTAGCTCAAGAGCAGCATATGGTACAGGACGTCTCGGGCGAAAAATAGGTATGGCATCTGGTTTCACTGGTAAGTGCGCTTTCATCTTGGTACAGTGGCCAAGGCTATTCTGAAAAACAGAGGCAAACTTTCTTTTCAGTTTTTCTAGTAACCTTTCACCTGTCTTCTTTGGAAGTAATGGGGTGTCCAATGATGAACACGATACGTTACAGACACTGTTAATTGGTATATCCATTATTCCAAGTTTGTCTAGCATATCTAGACCAAGAAGATCAAGGTTCGGCCGTTCTGTTAGGTAACATATTCCTGTACAGTTAGTTCCATTGAAGGAAAATTCACACTGTAATTCACCAACCAGTTTTAGCACACCACCTGATGCGTTTTTAGCCGTTTTCTTAGATGGCTTCATTGGCGGTTTACCCAGCAAGTTATACGTTTCTCTAGACACTAACGTGATATCTGATGCCGTGTCAATTTGAAGACGAGCTGATATGCCGTTTATCTGGATGGTAACATACTTTCTCCGAATGTCATAGTTTGTTTGAAAGGCAGCTACCAGAGAAAGAGATTTAGACTCGGCTGATTTCACATGTCGAGGACGTTTATGCTTCTTCTTAGGCTGAGACGTACGCTTCGGTGGACAATGACCTTCTTTATGTCCACGTTTGTTGCACGCCTGACATTTATGCTTCTTGAACGGACAGAATCGTGCATAATGCCAATCACCGCATAACCAGCATGCAGTCCTTGGTTTGTTACGAGTTGTTACCGGCTTCTGAACTTTTAACCTAGTAATAGTATTTACACTACCGCAGGTTAAATTAGGATTTACCTGTTCAATCAACTCGTTGTCGTGTCTGATGCTTTGTAGACGCTTACACTCATCTGTCAATGTTCTGAGTGTGACGTTTGGGTCTTGATCCAGTCGAGCTAAAAGTCTAGTCCTGATCTCAGCATCTTGTGGTGACTGAAGAGCTTTGATGAATATTAAGCATTTAAATTGGTCATCAGTCAACGAGCGTAACTTGAAACGTTCACATTCTCTGTTGACAATGTCTGCTAGAACACCATATTCATCAGCTTCGCGTTTCACCAAATTTAGACACCGATATCGAATACTAAACAACGAGGATGACTCGCCGAATATCTCTGACAACTGAAATACCGTCTCCTCGAAACTGAGCTCTCGAGGTAACTTTGGCAATATATGGTCAGCAAAACGTGCATGTTCACTGCTTCCCAACTTACGTACCAACAATCGGGTCTTCCACGCATCGTCTTGGTTACAGAATTCTGTTCTAAATGTATCTTCCCAACGTTGAACCACGTGAGAAAAGTATTTCCACTTTCGGGATCATAGATGAATTCTGGGATGCTGCTAGCAACTGCATCACAAGACGTACTTAAAATAGCATGTGAACCCGAGCTGTGAATGTTGAGCTGTTGAGTCAGGGTCTCTAACAACCGCATTTGTGCATCAAGTTGTGCTTGCTGTTGTTGTAGTATTCGGTTAAGCTGGTCATCTGATATAGGCATCTTGAATTTGTTTTCCTTTTTCCCCGTCGCCACTGTTATAACTCTTGTCTTCTTACGGTTATGACCCAGCTATTCCTATTGCTTAGTATTCTCGGACACCGATTCACTCGACAAGTCCCCAAATCAAAACACGGTTGAACAGGAATAAGATTATATTCCAAATAGCAAGTCAGAAGCATAATAGGGAAAAACGTCAGTATATTTATAGTTTTTTACATAAGAAGATTCCAGAATATTCTCCGACTATCGACTGTTGCTGATTGGATAAGAATCAGCCAATCAGCGTGCAGCAAAGCAATCATGCATTGAGCATGCTTTAATCTAGTCTATGTCCCGCTAACAGTTTGTTAGCTAAAATTAAAATGATGTGAATGTTGATCTACCCAGTCTTTTGAGAAATAACTTAATATTTTAGAAAAACGTTGCTCTCCAACTTTATACAAGATCTATTTTATAAACAACTAAGAATTTAAATGGTTAAGATCATGAGTCAGTTGAAGCTAGACCACCATGGAAAACCTGGAATCAGTGGACGGCTGTTTCGTCCTTTTGTGGGACTCCTCGGCAAGGATTTATTAGCTTCTGTTCACATCGATTATTTTTGTATAGCTCTTATGTAATCTTATTAACTCCCTGTTCATATTTTCCCATGGAATTGAGTGGTTTATATATAGTCGTTAAATTTGACATTTTAACTTTGCTTCAGTCAGATCCCATTATAACCTTTTGACTAATGCACATCAAGTCAGGATACTGTAAGTATTTCCTCTATCTTTCTCAAAACTTGAGAAGTTCTCGAGGAATTATAGCTTATTCAGTAGTTTTCAAAATTCGTTCTGAGTTTGTAAAAGTTATGATTGGAAAATTCTCTAATTTTATATGATAACCTTAGCTAACCAAAAACGTTCTTCTCCCTCCGTTCAAGTTTATTACGCGGTAACCTACTATCAAAATGAATCTTTTGGTTTGTTTATCTTTGCCTTACCCTTGTACAACCGATTTAATGTAATCATTAAAAATCACATATATTCAGCCATCACTGTCTTCGAAATATCGTTTTCATATTATAAAACGATCTAGTGACTAATGTTCTTGCTAAGTGTTCTACGTAATGAAGGCAAGATTTTGAACCTTTATCGGTTTACGCTTTTTCTGTGTGTGTTGCACAAGTCTATACATCATCCTACCTTAAAATACATTAATCATAAACAGTTTTAGAAAATTTACTGTGTGATGACACAGAATATGGCAAGAATCTATTGATTTTTTTTTCCAGATTGTGTAGGGAAATGCAAGCTATTTGTTAGTATCTGCAAAATATAATAAATCCAATGTTTTGATGATATGTTACAAAACATCAGTCAAATTAGTCTAGACACATCCATACTTGTTGATACTAGGAACTACAATCGATCAGTTTTTATTGGGATATATGCATCATTTGTGGATTATCTCGATATTCCCTTTTAGTTACAACCATTCAGTATATTGATAGTGTTTAAAGTAATGTACTGCGTTGTTATATCAGCGTGAACATTAACCCTGAAATTTACATCTAGTTGATGATTTTCAATCAAAATAAAACTCTCGTCCTAGATTCTGCGGTCACCTGCAATCTGAATATAGATTTTCTCAGTAATATGTGATAAGGGGTTTTGTGGATATTATAGTAATTCCAATAGTTGAGATCATGAGCCAATTAAAGCTAGACCCCCATGGAGAACCTGGAAGCACTGGACGGCCGTTTCGTCCTATTGTGGGACTCCTCAACAGTGCGCATCCACGATCCCACCTCGCGAGATTCGAACCCAGAGCCCTTCAGTCTCGCGCTTCGAGCGCTGGAGACAATGGTGGATGCGTCGCTCAATCGTGTGGATTTGTTGAAGTTAGACATTAACACAATTGGATACCGGCTCAGTGGTCTAGTGGTTAAGCGTTCGCGTGCGAGACTGATAGGTTCTGGGTTCGAATCTCACGAGGCGGGATCAAGGATGCGCACTGCCAAAGAGTCTCATAGTAGGACGAAAAGATGAGTTTTACAGAAAGCTTTCCAACCTTCTCCGAAAAGCTAGGCGTTCTGATGTAGTAATAGTGGCTGGTGACTTTAATGCTCAAGTAGGCAAACTAAGCGATAGGGAAAGACACCTGGGTGGATCTTATAGCATCGTGGCTCAAAGAACAGATAATGGCGACCGTCTGTTGCAGCTATGCTCAGATAACCGCCTCTTTCTTACAAATACTAACTTTAGGCATAAGGAAAAACATCTTTTAACATGGAGACCACCTAATTCGTCCCAACGTTGGACCCAAACAGGTCACATCGCTATCAGCCACCGATGGAGGGGCTCCATAGAAGACTGTCTCTCATTCTGGAGCACATGCTTAGATTCAGATCATGCTCTAGTACGAGCGCGTATCTGTCTGCGTCTTACTGGACGTAGGAAAGACGCTGCAAGGAAACCTCTTAGGGCCCTACTTAATGATAGTCAAGCTAAGAGTATATTTCAGGAACAATTAGAAAAACGGTTACGCAGCCATGTAAGTGATGCTCACTCCAAGACAACATGGAATTATATCCGAAAAGCTGTGTAAACAGCATTGATATCTGCTAGTACAGTGAACCATAGGTTAGGGAGAAACACTGGATCTCAGCAGCATCTACCGCACTGATAGATGCTCGGAAACTCATTCCATCTGGCTCTGAACATAATGAAGAGCGGAGTCAGCTTAAGCGCAAGCTGACAAGAAGTCTACGCAATGAGGTTCACTTGTTCACTTAGAAATATGCTGAGGAGATAGTTTTATTTGGCGAAGACGCTGACAAAATGCAGAGTCTTCTGACCACTCTAAGCAACAATGCAGGCATGTTCGGGATGCGATTCTCCCCCTCGAAATGCAAAATGTTGCTTCAGGATTGGGTTGCATCGACACTCGAACTAATGATAGGGAGTGAAGTAATTGAGCGTGTCGATCGCTTCACTTATCTTGGAAGTCTCATCAGCCCTTGTGGTCCGGTGTGTGACGAAATCTCAGCACGGATACAGAAGGCTCGACTAGCTTTTGCCAACATGCGTCATTCATGGCGTAGGCGAGATATCCGTCTATCAACCAAAGAACAGGTTTACTGTGCAGCAGTTCGTTCCGTCCTACTTTATGGCAGTGAAACATGGCCGATAAGAGTAGAGGATATTCGTAGGTTACTAGTATTTGATCATAGATGTCTTCGAAATATTGCTCGTATATCCTGGGACCACCGAGTAAGTAATACAGTTGTTAAGAAACGGGTACTAGGTAAGGATGGCAAGTCGATTGATGACGTAGTGAAACTTCATCAGTTGAGATGGCTGGGATACGTGTTACGTATGCCCAACCACCGACTGCTCCGACATGCAATATTTTATGGTGTAGTAGTAGGTTGGAAGAATGCTAGGGGCGGCCATACCAAAACACGTCACAAACCCATGAAGTCACTGACAAGTGGACTGAGTCATGTTGTTAGGTGTATACTACTTGTTTGGGGACCGCGAGATGATAGCAACCGATGGTTAGAGACCCTGAATGGCATGGCTCAAAATCGTTTGCAATGGCGCAGGTGCATACACTCTTTGTGTTCTCCCAAATTTTGATCTCCTTGTCTCTTTTTTTCTCTTCCCAAATTTATTTCACTGTATTATACTCTTTAAATAACATCTCCAAGCATTAATCTTCCCGATTACTGCTTATACTCTTACTATTTCTACCACTACGGGATTTGAATCGACAGCTGCATCTCTGTGCTAATGTGGTGTGGCAACTCGAACTGATTTACGTACGTACGAAGTTCTACGTTGTTATCGACTAACTGACTGACTTGTATTATGACATATTTAAGGGAACAGAAAAAAGATACCGACATAATTAAATACAATGACTGAATTATTTTTCTCAGATTTTATTGTTTTCTTTCAACTTTCAGTGAACCTACTGCATAAGCTGTAGTATGTCTTCCGTGCTGTTCTACGTTGTTATTCACTGGCTGACTGATTTCCGTACCTCTCCTAACTCACTGCATGTGACTGATTATACTGAATAAATTAACATCTAGTGGGGAAATCTCATTCCGGGTTGTGAATCCTGGTTCTGATGTAACGTGACTAGTCTTTTTATCGTATTGACGTATTATCGATGTGTACCTGAGAGAGAAAAATATTTTAAACTATCTGTTATATCTATGGTCTTTTCTTTTTTTTTGAAGTCTCTACTATTTTCATCATTAAAATTAATTTGTTTTATATTATTTCTCAGAATTGTTCTTATTTGACAGTTAACTACAATCAATGTAAAATGGAGTACAAATATGCATCAACCCAACCCACCATATCAAATTCGCACGAGTTGAAATAATAGTATGAATAGCTAATGCATCGTAATAATTGTAGTACCAACAGTATTTTTTAAAGAAGAAAAGACTGTGCATACAGAACACCTTTTACAAAAAGTAATGTCAGAACAAACAAGCATCAATGCTTTGAAGCCAGTGAGACCGATTTAAAACTATCACTTTAAGCCTCCAACTATTAGTCACGATTATCACACAGATCTCAAGCAGGTACTCTATAACTACCACCATGGCTGGGACTAACAGTCAATGACTTCATGAAATGATATCTCCTTTCAGCTTATACTCTTTCTCGCTCGATTTTCTTTCAACCAACTCCTTCGTATATTTTATTTTACATTAAAAATTTGCAATATGTTAAGCTTAATACCTATATGATTAAATGTTTAACTGTTTGATGTATAAGTCAGTAAAAATTTTGATAAATCTAACTTTCAGTGTAATAGGTACTTCAGGATTTAAAAAGTAAAAATTCGTCATCCTGTTGCATTCATTATTATTATTACATGTAAACTTGATTAAATTTTTGTTTAGTTGGACACAAGCGTCTACATCAACATGGGAATCCTACAACTCCTTCCAGTGGAAGTTTCAATGTGGAATTGTCTACAGCTAACTCTTTCATTGCCCCCGGTGGTGGTATTCGACGGCGATCGAATCTTGGTCTAATTTCTTCATCAATTAATCCAAAAAAGATTTATGAAAGTTGGCTGATGACTTTACGGATTCGTACGTATTTCGCTAATTTAAGAGTTGTCCAAGATCCGGAATTATTGTCTCAATTATCCTCACGCATTGAACCTAGTGGTAAAGATTCAAGAACTGTCCAACCCGCTGTTGTATCTTCAGTAGGCAATGCTGGTACCACTACTACCAACAATAATAACAGTTCTACTAATGAGGGAAATGATCCACAGCAGTTATATACATCCAATCTCCCATCCTCCAACAATAATACAAAATTAAAAGGTAGCGATTCTTTTGAAAAACTATGGATAAGTATTAGTGAATATTTATTATTTTGTGTCCTTTTCAATTCATGGATTATCTGTTCTCTCGTAACCTGTGTATTTAAAAAATATATTTGTGACGGTTACTGAACAATTTACTTGGGAAAGTATAGGATTTTATGAAAATTCTGCAGTGTGATTGATGTATCAAATACCGTTTCGTATAGTTGACTTGGTGTCAGAATTTTGCGTGTGAGCTATTGAAAGTACCTGGCTTCTCGAAATAAAGTGAATGAAGCTGGACCAAAATGAACTGAACTACCTGCATATTTGATTATATTGATATCAGATTGAAATAATGTGATATATGAAACAGGCCCTCACCTCAAAATTAAACTCAGTTATCAGTTGAGACACAAAACCTCGAAACGTGTGAACTCTACATATAAACAAGCCAAAATTCAGTTCTAAAAAATGGGCAGCGCCCTTCGCTAGTATCGGTGTTCATTAAATTGCCCCCCAAAAAAACAAGTCAAAAGTTAACTAAATTCGGAAATATCAACCGTTCAATCTAAATCTGTAACCGATGTTCCAAGGGTTTTGTCGAGACTTTTCTAATTTCTAGATGGTTTCTGTCACGGATTAATATCACTTAACGTACCATTGAAAACCAGAGAGCACTGAACAGTTATTTCAACACTAACCCAGTGCTTGTAACTATTGATTTTTTGCTGCGATACCCAAAAGTACTGAGTTCGATCTCTGATGTGGTTATGAGTGCTCACTTACAAAAAGTCTCGTGATAGAGCAATACATTCGTTCAGTGCTCCTTGGTTTTAAAAACTACCCCAAGTGTGATCAATCGACTGTGAATATCACCCAAAAACTAGAGATTTTTTGAATATGCGTTTCCAAGCACCGCTGTCTAGGACAGTGCAAAACATTCGTAGCTTGTTGATTAGGTCATCCGGCTCTTAATCATTAGATTGCAGATTAAAACTATTCTCTTTCTACCTTGATTTATCCAATCGAATAATATCACCAGCTTTTTCACAATGGTAAGCGGCCGTCAAAGGTAGTGACTAACACTTCAACCAGTACATTCAGTAAATGAATTGCTACATTATTAATTTGGTCATTTAAACTGATAGACATTTGTACTAAATCCTGTGTTGATGATAGCTAGTTGATTGACTTGTGACAATTCATGTGTTTTTCAAATAACAAGAGTTTTCGAACAAGGATTTCACAAACACATATTTGTTAACTATGATTCTATTCTATCCATGTATACGTGCAATTGATAGTCATCTTCACAAAAAATATGCTACGTGTTTATTTACTAACTCGAACTGATTTACGTACGTACGAAGTTCTACGTTGTTACTGCATCTACCAACATGGCTCAGATCAGAAGTTAGTGACTTCAAGCACTGATGCCACGTTTTGGTTTGGCCGCCCCTAACTTTCTTCCAACCATCCCCAACACTAGTCAGCATTGCGCATCGTGGTCCAACAGCACTCAAGACCACTGTTGACTATACACAAGCTATGTAAAAAATTCCCTTCAACTTCTGGATTCCGATACATTGAATGTCCAATCCAGTTGGTTAACTTATCATGTGAATATCTACTAGTTGTTGCTCAAATATGTCTATTCAGCTGCAACATGAGTGTTTTGATGAGTTTCGAGTTATGGACAAATCTTTAATCAACATATTTTATGTAGTCTATATGTATTGTAATGATGAAATTTCGTCCTGTGATATGTTTTGTGTGTGGTTTTGTTGTTATCCGGATCAGTTATCAAGCAACATAAAACTTTAATGCGAACAAATCAGGCTTATGTATAGATTAGTCCTGATTAAGTAAACTAAATTGTTATTACATTAGATAAGTGACTAAAACTGAGTGAAATTTAGTATGTATTTACAAAACATAACAAACAGTTGTTTCCATGGTCACCAGGTTTGCACACATCAGTTGTATGGAAAATTTGATGGTCAAATATTTGACTTACTCTTTCATCCGTTTCCAACCATACTCCACCTATTTCGGTTGGGAAAATTGAATAATATCCCTAACTTAAGCACTATACATTGTTGAAATCATGAGTCAGTTGAAGCTAGACCACCATTGGAAACCTGGAAGCACTGGACGGCCATTTCATCCTGGTATGGGACTCCTCAGCGGTGCGCATCCACGATCCCGCACCACGCGGGGCTCGAACTCAGGACCTACTGGCTTCGCGCGCGAGCACTTAACCACTAGACCACTGAGCCGACATCCAACGGTGTTAATGTCTGACTTCAACCAATCCACGAAGTTGAGCCACCATACACCATTGTCTTCAGTGAGTTGTTATCTCACAACAGACCGGTTGAACTCCACTGGTAACGGCTTCTCACTAGAACTCTAGAAGTTTTTCCTGAAGTCAGTCACTAGTGAGCAGTTGATTATCATCAGAATGAGTTTTGTGGAGAGTTTTAGAAATTTCTAGCTTCAACTGACTCATGATTTCAACCTGTGAAATTTCTAAAACTCTCCACAAAACTCATTCTGACTATACATTGTATTCAATTCCGATTTCACTACGTCTTAGATTGTTATGGTTATCAGTTAAGCGATCGCCGGATCCAATTTTCTCACTTACTAATTAGGTTTCTTAGTTGATTTAAGTGAAAACCCAATGGTTCTAAGAGTAACTTAGATCTTATTTCAAGTACAGTCGTTTTTCCCCGTGAAAACTTCAATGTTTCACATGGATAGAAAAAAGCATGAATGATTTGTAGGTTAGTGGATAGCGCGTTGGGGGTTCAGTTGATAAGTATCTGGATTCAAGTTTCAGCGTGGAACGCCAACACAGATGCGGTACATCTCAGATAGGATAATTTGCGCGTTTTGTGTTCCGCTGCCTGATATAATAATGGTATGCTAGAAAACATGTGATTAAAAGAGAATATCTAGTCATCCTCTTAGGTTGCATGTATCCCTACAGTGACTTACCAATTTTAGCTCCTAATATCAACAAGGGGGAGATGCAAACATTTACAAACAAACTTACAATGTTTAGTTCGAACATAGTTTTAGTAGTGGACTAGCATCAACTAAATTATTACCAAAAGAATATCCCTAGAAATATCTGAAATTTCACCGATAGATCTTATTTTCAAAAAGTGACCAAATCATTATATGACTAAAAAGAAAACAAATAAGTACTGGATAGCTGTTCTATTATCTTAATTCGAGGTTCTTCAGCTGTCCACTATCATAGTAGGAACCATCTAAAATAAAGTCAGTTTATTTTTCTTTTCTAGTAAACTTATTTATTTATTGGGACTTTTTATACTCTTTTATTGTAGGCATAAAGCTGTCTCTCACAAAAACTTCTGCACAGTCTGTTATAGTCGAATCGAATACAAACAAAAAGTCTCCACTTAAAGTTATCAACGTATCGACAGAATCTCCATATGTACCATCAGCAACAGTAGCAGTATCAATCACATCTCATCCAAGGTCTACGGATCCAAAAGATATGTTTACCCGACCATTACTAGGCGCACAATCTGTTGAAGATGCTCGCAAACTATTAGCCCTAAGTGTAGGTAGTAAACGTTCTTCCCAGAGACGTTTACCAGTGTTCACTTTCCCGAATCACTTTCATTACAATAATACTCATAATGTCGCTCAGTCTTTGTTCATTACATCACCAGTTCGACCATATGCTGGTATTGGATTTGGACACCTGAAATCGCAACATTATAACAATTCTAATATATCATCGTCTATAGGATCATTTTATCAAGTAAATAATAATACTATCATACAAATGTCAAATAACAGCACACCGAAATTATCATCTACCTCTAATGCTACTATTTCCACATGTTCTAATCATTTACACCATCATCATCATTATAGTAATACTCAGCTTATATGTCCACAACCGACTCGATGTTATTCCACTCCTACCGGTACAACAGGCAGTAAAAGTCTCCTGTTGGATAATCTTATCCCAATACCATCTCGTATAGCTACTAATATGAACGATAGTGGGAATAGTAATTCTACATCGGATCAAATGTATGCTATGCTACCAAATCAAAGAGATCCTTGTCATTTGCATCAGCACCAGCATTCTTTAACTCATCACCAACAGGCATCAGCATCACCTCATAATCGAGGCCAAGCAACTATGAAACATCAACATTTTAGTCAGGCAACAAACCAGAATACAAATTATCAATACCAAGTATGATTGAGTGTTGTTTTTACACCTTCATAATTATCTGTTTTATCCCTATATCATTCTCATGTAAAGACAGTTAGTAAATTTTGCCAAGGTATACTTTAACTAGTCGCTAACAACAGGTTGAATTAAACTGTTGTATTTGAGGTCGTAGTTAACGTTCATGTGTTTACATTGCAATCATAATCTTCATTTCGCATGTAAATGTGTTTACACCATAAATTTCACCGTCGTTGGAGTACTAATATTGTATGATATGTGTATCACAAGATCTCAGATTTAAGTTCGTTTTCAATCACCCTGGAAAGTCGTACTAGTAGCATTCGAGTGCTCAATTCAACTGAACATGTAAAAGCCTAAGTATAATAAAAATATATCTTTAACTTTTTAAAATAAAACATACATAACTGCTATGTCACACGTAGTCTGTCCAGTATACACGCTAACTGAGCTAACAACTTTGTTAGCTATAGGCTATCGCCTATTTATTGGTGAAAACACTGAACATGTACAGTCTCGTTCTTCCCAATCTTCAGTTCACTGTCTTCATCATTACTAATGAACTGAGTTCTTGAAAATCGTTTGTGTACACAATTCTAACAAAACATTTGGGGTTGAGAAACTACTTACGTGCAAAAATCGTTCCGAAACTGATGACACCTGAATAAAAAGCTAACAAAAACAATCAGGATTTCATAGGTACGAAATCGATTCGAAATCATAGACCAACAAATGAAAGATAAAACGTGAAACGCCAAGGCAGCTGACGTGTCTAACTTCTGGAGGCCAGTGATGACTTTTACGGATGTGACAAGCGTATAACCACAATTAAGGATTACTTTGAAAGGAGTAAGATTCGTGCACCTTAAATTTTGCAGACTAAACGTTTTGTGACCTCAGTCCTTGTACTTAGTATATATATATATATATATATATATATATATATATATATATATATATATATATATATATAATCTCATTTTGTTTTACAGCAGCAACAACCAAACCCTCAGTCTCTATCGAATCCTATTGGATCTCGTCTAACACTGAATTCTAATACTGCTACAGTGCTATATCCATCTTGTCCCGGTATTTCACTACAGCAACAGATGACTTGCCCACATCGGTCTACTAATTTATTTGGTGGAGGTGCCTATCCCTCAAATCAGCAACAACAACAGGCAACAGTACAATCAGGTTGCTTTGGAGAACAATCATCATTGCAACAGCATCAGCATTCAGTTTCATTCAATTTCGATGAGAACTATTTATATCCTACTGCAAATACACTTCCACTTGGTGGTTCAATGCTGTCTATACCTCGTAATTATCGACAGTCTATCATACAAAGAATAATTCCACAATGTAAGTTTTCCATATTTGATTTGATGGCGTTTTCAGATTCACACGAAAATCATTCAGTCCCATTACGAGCCAGTTAATGGTGTCTAAAAGATCATTTAAATGGTCATAAACAGCTATTAGAATTTTTACATCTAGACTTCACTTTCTTTGGAGCTCATCATTATCAAGGTGTATAAGATCTCACGGAAACTCATACTCCATCGAAAATGTACATTAAGGTGTTTTAAGTAGTGCCGGTAAACTTACTGATTAAAAGCATCCAACTGTTTGTGACCATGCTCCATGTACTTCGGTTCGGACAGTCGGTAGTATAACTTGTCCTCATACTGAATAGTGGCTAGCAGTGGAATTTAGGACGCGCGTTTCATCCTGTTTTGGACTCGTCAGCTGAATGTGCCTGCACTCTAGAATTGATGTCCACTCCGAGACTCGAGCCCATTACCGTCCGCTTCAAACGCCATCGCGTTATCCACTTAGCTACTGAGTCCTAATAGCCACCTGCTTGTGCAATGGGGTGTAGTTCAAATTCACTAGATGTTGTTTGCTTGCATCGATCAGTCTGTTGCTGGCATATGTGCATCCTGTGCGGATTGCAGTCCTAGACAACAATGGGAAGATACAAGCAAACAACACCTAGTGAATTTAAAGTTTATTTGTTCGTGACTGTGATCATAAACCAAGCACATTGATGGATTATTTAAATCCAATCAAGTAATTTTTGGCTTTTTAGTCTTTTTGTCACACACATGTCACTGTATCTTTTGTTCTAATAACTAAGTTACTGATTTTCATAAATAACAAAACTGTTTAGATGCTATATTTTTTTAAAATATGCATAACTATTGTTTGTTTACTTCGGTTACAATAACATTACTGTCTATCATTTTTTTCTATAATTTTCTACGTTTTCTAATTATTAGGTAACAAACCATAAAGCTTTAGCTCTTAATACACATTATATAAGAAAGTCCAAAGTTCTTAGAGTAATGTAAATATTTGCAAATCACTAACCAGGTTTATACACTTAGCATTTGAACAGTATACTGTTCGTGTCTGTGTATGTGTGTATTGCACCTTAAGATGATAACTGATATCACTTTATGAATTCGCCATTCAGAACTCTGATTAGGATTTCTCTATTTCGTGTCTGCTCTTACCCAAAGCCTAACACCCTAGGCGTAACCAATTATACATCCTGGTCGGTACAATTAACCTTGAACTATCGCAAGCTGCATTCTTTTTGATCCACCTTTCCCCAAGCTTTGAATTCGAAGAGACGTTTTCAGCCAAGCATCTATTGTTATCTGTTCTAATCACCCAGCCCAATGAGCAAGCAAAGCAAACAACTATCTCTAACACTCATTAGATCATTTACATAAACCATCAAACCGCACAGGACACGAGTGACAGAGAGTGAAGTAAACAGCGCATAATCAAGCAACAATCATCGAGGAATAATAACAAGACGTATGACAACAGTTAATAAGTTAATTGAAAGCTTAAAACTAGGAGAATGTAGAAATACAGTGGTACAGTTACCTACTAATTATACAATAAGAAAAAAGAAAAATAATCTAAAAAATAGTTCCAAAAGTCCTACCTTTTGCAATAACCGTCCCGTCAGAATAGTATGTGTGTATAAAACCGCTATAACGGTACCAACCCCCAGTTACCCAAACCAAATTATACGAGTTTCTCTGAAGTCTTTCATTTACTGATGAGTAACTTACATTAATGATTGCTATGTACTTATGTCCTCTCTAAAAATTATCTCTGTAACTAATCTTTCAAATATCAAGTCATACTTTCCTTATTTTTGTCTAATGCTCACACTTTTAAGACGATGGAGAATATCTGTAACTCAAGACGAGAAATTTGAAAATGTTTTTACTTTCTTTCTTGTTATCTTTCTTATTACCTTATCCTTCATTCATCGCTCTTTCACAATTCAATAGACTTAAATTGCAAGCCAACTCGGCCACCACCATATGAAATAGCTTTGGCTTTAAAATATCCTCAAAATGCCAATTCACAACGAGTATATCAATCACTGGAAAATGACACGATTAATACACGACATGAAAATAATAACAATAGTATTAATAATAATAATTACCACATAGCAAGTAATTTATCATCTGGCATTAAACATGGAACAGGTAAATTTTGTAATTATAAATTGTTATTGTTTTCGAGTTTTTGTGTAAGTAGATAATCTTAACCAATCATATTTCCTTATCTTGTCTTTAAATTACCAACGTTAAGCTTTAAAACTGGGTGATTGGCTAGTTGGTCAATGTATGCGTCAATATGTAGCCAGATTATTATAGAAAATAAAAATCTTCATAGTTGGTATATGTCTGATCACTTCACTAAAATCTGGCTTATAAAAATTTATAGATGAATTGATGATGTTATCCAATTAATTCCACGTTGACCTAAAGAATTCACTTAATGTTTAATAGATTACATTACTCTGGCTACCAACGACATGACACCTATCCTAGAGTTTCAGTTTAATGGTGTCCAGAACAGGTCACTTTTGACAAAAGGAGACTTCAAGTATTCAGTAGTTACTACATCTTTTGCCCCTTACACATAAATATGGTGTCAGATGAGTGAAATATTGTTATGGGTACAATTTCAGGTAAGTTGGATGAGTCAGTCAGTCAGTCATCTACAACGTAGTACCCGACAGTTTCTGCCACTTTAACCGATCGGACTATACAGTCTGGAACAAACGTCGTTCAAGGTCCTACCATGCCAGACAGATCGGTTGGAGAGCGGTAAGACTAAAAGCAGCAAACCCAAGGTCCGAGGGCGGAGTTTTACTTCTGACTGTACAGAGGTATGACGGCATTAAGATGTTTTCTTCAGACAATCAGCATAGCAACGATGCTGCCTTCCCATTAGGAGGGGTGGGGTTAGAAAAGGTCGACCCTAAAAGTGCACATCTCGCCTTATCTCACGGATTTCCGTCTCCGGCGGTAAGGTCTCAAAAAGTACAGAGCTAACACGAAAATTGTCCACAAAAAGGACATGTGTAACCGATCTCAAACACTTGTCCCTTAGGCACTACAGTCATGCTCTCAGGTCACCAATACCACCCCTAACCCAATTTCCTTTCCAGGCATCGCCGGAAGAACCCTTCAACGGTGTGGGCAACCGGGAAGTGATAACCGCCCTCATACCTCTAATAGCACTCGAGACCACTGTATCCCTATTATTCCTCCTACCTCGACTTCCAACTCTAAACTTGATTATAGCCAGATACGATACCCAGTCACTCATTAGCTGTTGTTTTGACGACTTAGATTAAATTTAATAGTTGAATTCATGAGTCGATTTAAACTAGACCACCATGGAAAACTAGAAGTATTAGACGACCGTTCTATCCCAGTGTGGGACTCGTCGACCTCGCGTGCGAACATTTAACCTCTAACCCACTGAGCCGGCATCCAACGGTGTTAATGTCTAACTTCAACCAATTCACGATATTGCGCGATCATCTACCATTGTCTCCAGTGAATAATTGCCTCACAACAAACCCGGTTGAACTCCACTGGTCACTGCTTCTCACTAGAACTCCAGGAAATACATTTTGAAGGCAGTCACGAGTGAGCACATGATGATTATCAAAATGGGGGGTCTGTGGAGACTGTAGTAATTTACTATCTGGATTCATGAGTCGATTTAAGTTAGACCACCATGGAATCATATGAAAAACAGTGGATTTTCATCTATGATGTAAATAGTTTCAAATTTGATAGTTTTTTTAACTGTCTGACTGACTGTAGGTGACAATAGGATGATAAAAATATATTTGATCTTTCTGTAAATTTTGAATGCCCCACTTATTTCCCATTTCTTATATCATTTTTAGTTTATTATAATAACTTTAACTGTCTTATTCACTGAATTTGACAGACTGTAATAAATTTAAATGTGATATCATACCTTATTTATTTTCTTAAATATCACTTTACTTAATGAATTACTGACATTCTGCATCATTCAGAGCATTTTCAGTTATAGCCTTAAAAATCAAATTTGTCTGGTTATGCGAATATTTTACTTACTTTTTTCTTATTGTATTCTTTCATATTAAACACTCAATTTTAAATCTACCAAATAGAATCACCGAACGCTATCCCACTTACTTCATTCTGAGCAGCTATGAAATATCTTTGGGCGTTATACAGTTCTATATGACTCAAAACTAGGCAAATGCGGACTTATTGTTTCAGTAACTCTATTGAAATAATTTTATACTTGATCATTTCAGGTAACTTAAAATAAAGCGATATATATAGCTTAGTATGTAGAAAGTATATAATTCTATAAGAACACCTAAAATGGTACTGAACAGAAATCGACATATATTGTATTTTATGAACTCCAGTAATCAATAATTTTTCTAAAGAAGGCTGAATTTACAATACCTTTTTAGTTTGAACGTTTCAGTTCTCTGAGCTTAACTCTTTCGAACACGTCACAGATGAGTGAAATATCCCCTTAGTGCTTTAATCACTTTTATGTTTACTATAACTTTGAGATTTTCAAAGTGAGTTTTAGAACTATTCACGTATCTTTCCCAACCTTATAACTTGGATGTGCAAGATTCTACTTTGCACTCCCATGACTTAACTTCTTTAAGTTTGGCACATTGAACCGCTTTTTGTTTGTGTATATTGTTGTTACTAACTGAATAGGACTGCTTTCATTCAGCTCTTTAGCACATTTGATTAAACCTTGAGAATCATGCGACCTGCCAAATACTATGTAAGGTTGAAACTTAATCCAAGTTCTAGTTGTCATTTGGTTCCTGGCTACACTGTCAGTATTACGTCGTTCTTACTATCATCTTTCTCTCCCATATCTACTTATTTTGTCAGGACACACACTTCACAATAAAATTATAATTTGCGAATCATAAAAACCATGCATCACTCCAAAGTAAATATGACTTTTCTTCTAGTTTTATGGTGAAATGTTTTATTTTGGATTTGATTACACTGTGTGATCAGGATTATATGTCCACGTTCTGATAAATGATTAGATTCATCCAGCTTATTATGTAACGCATGCTTCGTTATTTCTCCTGGCTCTCGGTTTTTGTTTTTTGTTCGTTTCTCTCATCTCTTTCAAGTTGATCATGTTCCATTGGCACAAACTCACACACAAATTCAAAATTCAAAGTCAGATAAACAATTGTTTACTGTTAAGCAGTTACCGGATAAAAATTCACAAAATCCTATAAATTATGCCTCATCTACAACAACATCGACAACAGCAACTTTAACTATTGTGTCTTCACGTTCAGAATTCAGTAACAACAGTAATAATAGTAATAATAATCTGCAATATAGACCATCTGAACGGAATAAATCCTCAACAGTGTGTCAGTCATTCCAGAAACGTATACAAGAACGACCTTCCCCGCCATCTTATCAGCAGGTAAGATGGAATTCATTTTATTTATTTGTTGTATAGTTGAGTGTGTTACTTTCTAAAGTTTTTTTCATCATGTGAAATGGTTGGTTAGGTCAGTCAGTCAGTCAATCACAACTTAGAACCTGGTACGTGTTTACATCGGCTCAAGTTACCATACTCCATTAGAATGGCGAGATTAAATTGTCAGGCCAAATCCCAGAATAACAGAAGTGGTAACATTATCAGTGGTGATTGAAAATGTTAAGCATCGGAGATGTGATCCACTTACTTACTTACTTACTTACTTACTTACTTACTTACTTACTTACTTACTTACTTACTTACTTACTTACTTACTTACTTACTTACTTACTTACTTACTTACTTACTTACTTACTTACTTACTTACTTACTTACTTACTTACTTACTTACTTACTTACTTACTTACTTACTTACTTACTTACTTACTTACTTACTTACTTACTTACTTACTTACTTACTTACTTACTTACTTACTTACTTACTTACTTACTTACTTACTTACTTACTTACTTACTTACTTACTTACTTACTTACTTACTTACTTACTTACTTACTTACTTACTTACTTACTTACTTACTTACTTACTTACTTACTTACTTACTTACTTACTTACTTACTTACTTACTTACTTACTTACTTACTTACTTACTTACTTACTTACTTACTTACTTACTTACTTACTTACTTACTTACTTACTTACTTACTTACTTACTTACTTACTTACTTACTTACTTACTTACTTACTTACTTACTTACTTACTTACTTACTTACTTACTTACTTACTTACTTACTTACTTACTTACTTACTTACTTACTTACTTACTTACTTACTTACTTACTTACTTACTTACTTACTTACTTACTTACTTACTTACTTACTTACTTACTTACTTACTTACTTACTTACTTACTTACTTACTTACTTACTTACTTACTTACTTACTTACTTACTTACTTACTTACTTACTTACTTACTTACTTACTTACTTACTTACACCTGTTACACCCAATGGAGTGTAGGCCGCCGAGCAGCGTTCTTCAACCCACTCCGTAAATCTATATCTCTGTTAAATCATGATAATATTGTCGATTATTTGTTCACAATGACCTATTTAAATCAGTGAACACTGGTTATTTACCTCCTATTGTGGAGATATAAATTGGGGTTGGATACGCAGTAGGTAAGATATGAATTACTTACTTACTTACGCCTGTTACTCCTCGTGAAGGAGCATAGGCCACTCACCAGCATTCTCCATCCAACCCTGTCCTGGGCAATCCTTTCCAGCTCCGTCCAGTTGTAATTCATCCTTTTCATATCTGCTTCTATTATCCGACGCAATGTGTTCTTTGGCCTTCCTCTTTTTCGCTTCCCTTCAGGGTTCCAAGTTAGGGCTTGCCTCGTGATGCAGTTTGACGATTTGCGTAATGTATGTCCTATCCATTTCCATCGTCTTTTCCTAATTTCTTCTTCAGCTGGAAGTTGGTTTGTTCTCTCCCACAGAAGGCTATTGCTGATGGTATCCGGCCAGTGGATGTTGAGTATCTTGCGTAGGCAGCTATTTATAAATACTTGTACTTTCTTGATTGTGGTTGTTGTAGTTCTCCAAGTTTCAGCTCCATACAGTAGAACTGCCTTGACGTTCGTATTGAAGATTCTCACTTTGATATTGGTTGAAAGTTGTTTTGAGTTCCATATGTTCTTCAATTGTAGGAATGCGACCCTTGCTTTGCCGATCCTCGCCTTTACGTCTGCATCTGAACCTCCTTGTTCATCGATGATGCTTCCTAGGTATGTGAAGGACTCTACATCTTCCAGAGTTTCGCCATCAAGAGTGATTGGATTGCTGTTCTCCGCTTGAATTTGAGGACCTTGGTTTTCCCTTTGTGTATGCTGAGGCCTACTGATGCAGAGACTGCTGCTACACTGGCTGTCTTCATCTGCATCTGTTCGTGTGTACGTGATAGGAGGGCTAGGTCGTCTGCGAAGTCCAAATCGTCTAATTGATTCTGAGCTGTCCATTGTATTCCGTGTTTTCCTTCAGATGTTGAGGTCTTCATAATCCAGTCGACCACCAGAAGAAAGAGGAAGGGAGAGAGTAAACAGCCTTGTCTGACTCCAGTCCTTACTTGGAATGCATCTGTCAGCTGTCCTCCATGCACTACTTTGCACTGTAGTCCGTCGTATGAGTTCCGGATAATGTTGACAATCTTCTCAGGAACTCCGTAGTGTCGAAGAAGTTTCCATAATGTCCTCCTATCTACACTGTCGAATGCCTTTTCATAATCAATGAAGTTGATGTATAGTGATGAGTTCCACTCAACTGATTGTTCGACGATGATCCGTAGTGTTGCAATTTGGTCTGTGCACGACCGATCCTTACGGAATCCAGCTTGTTGATCTCGAAGTTGGGCGTCTACTGCATCCTTCATCCGGTTCAGCAACACTCTGTTGAAGACTTTCCCTGGTATTGACAGTAGTGTAATGCCTCTGTAGTTTTCACATTTGCTCAGATCTCCTTTCTTTGGAATCTTGACGAGGTGTCCTTCTTTCCAGTCCATTGGCACTTGTTCCTCCTCCCAAATCTTTTTGAATAGAAGGTATAGCATGCTTGTGGTTGCTTCGATGTCTGATTTCAGTGCTTCAGCTGGTATGTTGTCGGGTCCTGCTGCTTTCCCGTTCTTGATTTGTCTGACGGCCATTCTAATTTCTTCCGTCGTTGGTGGGTTGACATCTATAGGAAGATCTATGTGTGCTGCTTCGATGTCCGGTGGATTCATTGGAGCCGGCCTATTCAGGAGTTCCTCGAAGTATTCTACCCATCTGTTACGCTGTTGTTGAATTTCGGTGATTGGCTTGCCTTCTTTGTCTTTGACCGGCCTCTCTGGTTTACTGTATTTCCCTGCTAGTTTCTTCGTTGTATCGTGAAGCTGTTTCATATTTCCTTCTCTAGCAGCTTTTTCTGCCGTCGTTGCTAGTTCTTCCACGTATTTCTTCTTGTCGGCTCTAATGCTCCTCTTCACTTGTTTGTTTGCTTCTATGTATTCAGCTTGTGCTTGGACTTTCTCTGCTCGTGTTCGGCTGTTGTTAATTGCTGCCTTCTTGTTCTTCCTTTCTTTGATCTTGTCCAGTGTTTCTATAGAGATCCATTCCTTATGATGGTGTTTCTTTAGGCCCAGAACCTCTTGACACGTTGAAGTTAATGCTTCCTTGATGCCTTTCCAGTTGTCCTCCATAGTAGTTTCTTCTTCTTTCAGTAGATCTTGTAAGGCTTGGAACCTGTTGTTGAGAGCTATCTTGAATTCATTGAGTTTGTCAGTATCTCGAAGGAAGGCTGTATTGAACCTTTGTAGTGCTGTTTGTCCACTTGTCCAGTTCTTTTTCAGCTTCAGTTTTAAATTGGCTACAACTAGGTGGTGATCTGAAGCTACGTCAGCACCTCTCCTGGTTCTCACATCTTCCATTGTCCTTCGGAATTTTTTGTTGATGCAAATATGATCTATTTGGTTCTCTGTAGTGTGGTCCGGTGAGATCCATGTAGCCTTGTGTATACGCTTGTGTGGAAATATTGTGCCTCCTATGACCAATTTGTTGAATGCACACAAATTTGCAAATCTTTCTCCATTTTCGTTTCTTTCTCCCAGTCCATGTCGTCCCATAATATCTTCATATCCAGTGTTGTCTATTCCGACTTTGGCATTTAGATCTCCCATCAGAATAGTTAGGTCCTTTCTTCGGCATTTCTCAATGATTGACTGCAGCCGCTCGTAGAACTGATCTTTAATGTCGTCGTTGCTATCATTGGTGGGTGCATAACATTGGATAATATTCATTAAGATCCCCTCCTTCTTTGTTTTGAATGATGCTTTGATGATTCTGGATCCGTGAGACTCCCATCCTACAAGTGCATTTCGTGCTACTTTGGACAGCATAAGAGCGACTCCCTGAGTGTGTGGAGCATTTTCCTCTTCGTGACCGGAGTATAGCAGCATCTCTCCCGTAGCTAGCCTTTTCTGTCCAGCTTGGGTCCAGTGGGTTTCGCTGATTCCCAGTACTGCTAAGTTGTATCTCCTCATTTCCATTGCTATTTGACTGGTCTTCCCGGTTTCCCACATTGTTCGAACGTTCCATGTACCTATAAAAATTTTTGCTCTGGTTGTTAGAAGGGGCATCGGCCTCGTGGCTTCCGAAGGAACTCGGCTTTCACCATGAAGCGTCATAATTCTTCTAACTGAAGACCTTCTAACTCCCAGGGCAGAGTTTAAATGGTTTGGATTATTTTTTCTGGTAAGCGTTTTTTTAGCGAGTTAGTTTTCTACGGGATGGGGACGCTAACCCCATGCCCAACCCTCCTCCTTTATCCGGGCTTGGGACCGGCAGTAACCCTGTTAGAGCTACAGGCGGAGTTAGATGTGATCCAAGTAAATTTAAATTATTGAAATGGAAAACACAAGAAAAGTTATGAGGAATTTAGAAGCTCATAATTTGGAGGAAGACAAAGAATAGATACACCTGCGCCATTACAGATGATTTTGAGCCATGTCACTGAAAGTCTCTAACCATTGATTACGTTAATCATGCAGACGCCAACCAACTAGTCTACACTCGATTGACATGGTTCAGTCCAATCGCCGATAACTTCATGGACTGGTGTCATGTTTTGGTCTGGCCGCCTCCAGCTTTCTTCCAGCTTAGTCCTACACAGACAACATCTCTCATCGAGGTAGGCGGTGGTTGATGAAGATTTACTACCTCATCAGTCGGTTTGCCATCCTTACCTAGTACCCTATTCCTGACCCAGGCACCGCTTACTCTGTGTGCCGAACATACGCGAGCGATGCTTCGAAGACACTGACGATTGAATACCAGTAGTAACTTACAAATATTCTTTACTTTTAATAGCCAGGTTTCACAGTCATAAGTTAGAAGTCCACTGAACTTTTAGAATTTGTGCCAAGACTTTGTCAGATACCAACCTGTCAGGATTGATTAGGCTGTAAAAATAATCGGAGGTCGATGTGCTCAACTACTTCACTCCCTATTCTTAGTTCAGGCGTCAACACAGACTAGTCCTATAGTAACATTTTGCATTTGGGTTGAGAGGACTGCATCCAGAACATGCTTGGATTGTTGCTTAAAGTGGCCAGCGTCTTCACCAAAAAGAACTGTGTATCTGCGTATTCCAAGTCAACAAGTGAATCTCCTGGTAGAAAATCAACCTCTGGAAAGTTAGACGATGAAAGTGCTATCTCTAAAAGCATGTCTATGGCAAAGCTAAATAAGAATGGGAAAAGCGGACAACCCTGAAGAACACTCGAAGTAATCGATTCTGATGAAAGTTGTCTATAAGTTTTGATTCGTCCATTAGTGTTCGAGTGGTGAGCCTGTACAGGGTTAATACACTCCTTTGATATGCATTTTGATGACAGACACTGCCGTCGAACCTTACGACCAACAGAGCCGAACGCTGCCTTAATGTCAAGGAATACAACTATAGTCGGACCTCAAAAAGTATGTCTACGTTCTGGAACCTGCCGAAGGGTGAATATTTGGTCTATGCATCCACGTGCGGGTATGAAACCAGTCTGATTTTCTCGGGTTCTCTCTTCACGAGCTCTACCTAATATTTGTAACACTTTGGTAGTTGAGATGGTGAAGTTTTGTAGCTCAGGTGGATGATTTTGATGGAGTTTTGTTCTCTGAGCTGGATGGTTTGGTCGTGGAGCTTTCACCGTTGATTGCTGATTGACCTGAGTGCCAGGCTTCGACAAGCACATTTAAATCGATCGAATTGGTCAACCAATCAGGAAAATTATGCACAAACATAGGAAGAAAAATCGAATCAATGGGAGACACAACCAAAACAAAAAAGCAAACAATGACAAATTTAAGGTCAATAAGAACCAATCATCATCGAGGTGTACGGACAAGCTGTGAAACACATATGGAGAAATTCGGACACTTCACTTCTATCTGAAGTTTGTGCTAATGATGTCGTTCAGAAGAACGGTGAAAGCCCCACGACCAAACCATCCAGCTCAGAGAACAAAACTCCGTCAAAAACTTTGGTAGTAAAACTAATTGCACTGTAATTGTCACAAGAAGACTTTGGTTCTTTCTTACAAACTGTGACGATCAGCTAATGTAACTGTTAAAGCTGCACCACATTCTTTAAAGATTTTTGGGCTAATCCATCCATTTAAGTTCAGGGATAACTCTCTCCCAATATGACTGAATATCTCCAGATGCAAAGTCTCACTAAGCCTTTAGAAATCCATTCAGTTATTATCACCAACGTAAAGCCTGTATCGTTCCTATATTTTATATAACAGCGAAACGAATAATTCCAGTAGCAAATTAGTAATGGTAGTAATCTTATCAAAAGTAGTTAAAATGGTTCCCTCAGACAACCAGCATCTGAAACGATGTTACCTTCTCATTGTTGATAGAACGGGTTCGAGAAAGTGTACCATGAAAATGTCGCACCTCAAAGTTACAACACAGATTTACGTCCCGGCAGTAAGGCCAATAGAAGTGCAGAGCAAACATATCAAACACCCCATAAAAAGGTAATGCGTGATGGGCCACAGATAGTTGTCCCTGGGACTCTGTGGTCACAGTCCTAGGTCACTAAGACCAACACTATTTCATATTCATTTCCAGGTCTTGAAAAAGAAATATCCTCCCACAAAGTGGGCAGCCGGGAAGTAGCAAACTCCCTTACACCTCTATCAGTACCCAAGATCATCATATTCATGATTCAATCCCTCACTCACCTCTTAATAATTCCTTCATTTCAACGACTAATCCTTCTCACTTATCTTGATCACTGCGCGCCACCAACACTAATGATTTGAGTTCACGAAATGTCATTTCTGGTCTCCTGAAACCACTCCTTAAACTACATGTTGGGGCTTTTAATGCTGAAACCTTGTGTCAGATAGGACAAATTTCTTTATTTAGAACTGTAGAATCCCGCGCTATCGAAATGTGCATCCAGGATACAAGTAGTCATTCATTTGACCTCAACTTGTCTATATAAAGAACCGCAACGATTCACCTTTCGTGTAAATTCGATAACTATTCGTCATGAAACATTTATACCAACATGCTTTATCATAAACATTTCCAGATTATTGATCGTTACAAGACAGTTTTTCCGTTCCTGAAGTTTTGTGTTTAATTATTCATATTGCAAAAATGTTCTCATTGTAAATTTCTTTTATATCATTCAAAATCACTTTATCAAGGTTTTATCCATGTCACGACAAGAAAATAATCAACGGTCATTGAAAATTATCTCTGCTCAATCTCACCCACGTACAAATATTTATTCATCACATGGACGCCCACAACCTCCACAACGAACAATGGCTACATTATCTTCTAATTGTAATCATAACAACTATCGAGCCTCTTCATGTAGTCCTGGTATGACTATAGTTCGTCCAGTCGTAAATGATCTCAATACTGTTGAACCACGTAAGTTGTGTTTCTGTGAAACTATAATCAGTGTACACTAGTTCATTTAATACAATTGTCATAATGTTATGAAATTCTATATTTGTTCTCCATTTATCACACTGATAGATCCGGTGTTTCGGGTAAACATTTACTGCACGGCCATTTTTGTATTTTTTTTCGAGTGAAATTTTTTTTCATCCCCATCTTCCAATAATTTTCATTCTGTTTCGTCCAATCAAATAACTAGTTTTAAGTTCGTTATAATTGGTCGTTTATTTCTTAAAATCGATATAAAACATGAGGATTTGACGACAGAGCACATTTTCCTACAATTATGGATGGTAGTAACATGCAAAGTACGAGCTCCGTCGTTCCTCACGTTGTCACAGAAACCGATAACCTATTCTTGAGCACATTGTATCTCGTAGTGTTCCAATCTCTTGAAGCGTTGAAGAGCGCCATTAGAACGTATGAAAGAGCCACGTACAGCCATTATGTGGTGAGGGATTCTCATTTACATAGAGATCGGAAGTCGTATGTTAGATTCGTATGTTGGAGAAATGGCCGTAGAACATCTGGCGGTTCCTCACAGCCGAGTAGACGGACGAGGTAATTTGATTAGTGTTATTATAATTTTTCATAAAGGACTACCGTGAACACTCAATGTCCTTCCTTCATATTTTGTAAGTTACCGACTATCAAAATAACGTCAATATGGATGCAACGTTAAGCAATGAAGAGGAAGAAATTGTTTCGATTAGCTCAGAGGAGTTCACTGAACGAGACGACGACAATGACGAAGACGCGTATGACAACAGACTTTATGATATTTGCAATCTTGCGCAACCGCCACATGAAACTGCTGATGGAAGTACCTGGATTTTTTGTCCATGCGAAGCAATGCCTCACTTATTTTGTGCCTACGACCCATCAACACACGTCCATGGAATCCACTGTCCCATGTACGGAGCTATAATGGAATAATAGAAACGCCTTTGTTCATGAAACTCGGAACTGTTAAGAGAACGAGTAAAGGCCCTTTTCAGGGCCACCAACAATGTGATTTAAATTCTTTTGTTTCAATTCCAAATGTCATTTGATACAATTGATTTTGTTCGTATAAAGCTGTATAAATGAGATAGACATTTATTTTGTCAGACGTAGGTTTGTACTTTTACACTGAATGTAACCAATATTTCAAATACCTGTCAAAAATTGTTATTCAACAATATAGAATATTATATGGAGATTTTTTAAACTGCAAATATGCTGTTGACATTACATGCAAAACTTGTTAAGCCCATTTGACGAGCACAATAATCGATTCACATGACTACTTACATAGACAAGTACTTTTTGTCATAATTTTAAACTACTCAACTACAAAGAATGTACAGTTAAAAACAATTAACGCTTTTAATGGATTAGCGAAATAACACAATTGACAATCTTGCATTTATTTATGACACCATTATTCAGGTAAAACTAAACAACTCTTTTGTACTAAGAATTACTGTTTGGAAAAGAACCCAATCATAAATATTATTTGCTATTTTCTGAGAGAAGTTATTACTATTTTGCTTCATTTACCGATCGTTAACGGTTAGCGTGATTTATGCATGCCCTATTCATGATATTATCACGATGATTTATGGATATTTTGCTACGCATATAACGTTTATTAAAATAACATACGATGTGTTAAGAAAAAAACTAATGGAAATACTTCGATGAATAATTTCTTTACTAATTGTGTATTAAACATTTGACCACCTTTCAACGTCAGTTATTACTATCATCAACTATTAAAACCAGTTATAAGTTTTTTCCAAAATTCTCTTTTAATGATTTAATCCACGAAATTTTTATAAATCTCCATTGATTATATTGCTTAGTCACTAAGGCTTAATTCGAATTCATCAATGTTGGTTCAGTTGACCTTTCCTATAGAAATGATGTCGTTGTACTAGTGAACTGGTAGTACTACATTCACCTATAGTAACCTTATGACAAAACACTGAAACATTCTGAATAAGTTTTGCATGTACTATTCTTAGACAGATGAGTGTTCATTATATGACATTTCCTATACGAAGTCGTTTACTTAAGCCGTATATTTGACAAAGCTTAAAAAGCGTTTACGAATACGTAGGCGCTAATCACATAATGACTATTAATCTTAAATGAATTTTGATGGTTTGATCACTTGACCTTTGCTATGGAAATAAGGAATTGAAACAAAAGAATTTAAATCAAATTGTTGGTGGCCCTGAAAAGGGCCTTTACTCGTTCTCTTAACAGTTCCGAGTTTCATGAACAAAGGCGTTTCTATTATTCCATTATAGCTCCGTACATGGGACAGTGGATTCCATGGACGTGTGTTGATGGGTCGTAGGCACAAAATAAGTGAGGCATTGCTTCGCATGGACAAAAAATCCAGGTACTTCCATCAGCAGTTTCATGTGGCGGTTGCGCAAGATTGCAAATATCATAAAGTCTGTTGTCATATGCGTCTTCGTCATTGTCGTCGTCTCGTTCAGTGAACTCCTCTGAGCTAATCGAAACAATTTCTTCCTCTTCATTGCTTAACGTTGCATCCATATTGACGTTATTTTGATAGTCGGTAACTTACAAAATATGAAGGAAGGACATTGAGTGTTCACGGTAGTCCTTTATGAAAAATTATAATAACACTAATCAAATTACCTCGTCCGTCTACTCGGCTGTGAGGAACCGCCAGATGTTCTACGGCCATTTCTCCAACATACGAATCTAACATACGACTTCCGATCTCTATGTAAATGAGAATCCCTCACCACATAATGGCTGTACGTGGCTCTTTCATACGTTCTAATGGCGCTCTTCAACGCTTCAAGAGATTGGAACACTACGAGATACAATGTGCTCAAGAATAGGTTATCGGTTTCTGTGACAACGTGAGGAACGACGGAGCTCGTACTTTGCATGTTACTACCATCCATAATTGTAGGAAAATGTGCTCTGTCGTCAAATCCTCATGTTTTATATCGATTTTAAGAAATAAACGACCAATTATAACGAACTTAAAACTAGTTATTTGATTGGACGAAACAGAATGAAAATTATTGGAAGATGGGGATGAAAAAAAATTTCACTCGAAAAATACAAAAATGGCCGTGCAGTAAATGTTTACCACATTGTAATATCTGGGCCAATAAAGAGTTGTAATTCAGTTTATGATCCATTGTCTCTATCTTTTTCGTTATCATCATCGTCTTCAGAGGGTCGGTATTCATCAAAGTACACGTATCTGATAGATATTTTTAATAATCTTCTTGTGTTTATTGGCCTACTGAGTTTCATTTTTGTTTGATTTGTTTTGCGTAAATTATTTTTTTTCAAATTTCTGTAGATCGCAAACATATTGGCAGGTTAGTTGATTGATCCACTTGAAACTAATCAAATGTTATAAATGTTCTCATTATGGCTATTTTTTCTTCTCCTCATCTCTCCTGTAAACTAACCATTAATCATCTCCCTCTGTCTGCTTGTTTAGATTTATGTACGTTGTATGTTACCTAGCATTATCTGTAACTGTGCTCCTTTTTATAATGTGGCAACTCTCATGTCAGCACTTAATTATTCACCCTGTATATGTGTACGTATCAGTGGTCATAAAGTTTTTTTTCCTTTGTTTGTCCCTTACCCCTACTAACTACGATCTGTACACATCACTTGTACCCATATACGTTCGAGGTAGTCGTTGGAATAATAATTTTTATTAATTGAGTTGCATGTCATTTCAAGTGTCCGCGGTGTTGACTTCATTGCTTAATATTCTTCTAACTGTCATTCTTACAGTGTTTTTGTTTGTGAACACTGAGTTTTATTGTTTGTGTAAACATATCTCTAAATTGACGAATTCGCTGACCAGTCAGTCATAAGTAATGTCGAACCTGACACGTGTACATTGATCCAAGTTGCTACACCCTATTAGCACAGCGAGACGAAATTGTCAAGATAAATCCCAAAGTAGTACATATAGTAACAGCATTGACGGCGGTTGAAAAGATTTAGCATTTTAGATAGGATTTGGGAAAAGAATATGGACTAGTGGAATAAAAAATTCATAGGGTAATTTAGAAAGTTACAATTTAAGAGAAGACGAAGAGTGAATGTGCCTGCTCCATCACAAACCATTTTGATCCATGTCACCCAAAGTCTCTAACCATCGGTTACAATAATCACGCGGACGCTAACCAAGTAGTCTGTACCTACCCACATGGCTCAGTTCAATAGTCAACGTCTTCATGGACTGATCCCATGTCTTCGTTTGTCCCTATCCTACCTATAACAACACTAGAGATCCTATTGTTCACTAATTCACCAATTGTGTACTCGAAATTCGTCAGTCAGCTATAACGTAGGACCAGGCACATATATGCATCGGTCCAAGTTGCCATACGGGCATTAGCACAACAAGATGAACACCGGATTCATAGAAGTAGTTAATTCAATGATGGTAATATATAAAAGAAAGATTGCATATAAGGATATAGTACAGGAAGAAAGAATTAGTACGTAGAGAGATATGTCGATCGTAAAAAGAGAGAGGATTAAGTGGGACACACTACAAATTAAAACCTGTATGTATCCATGATTTCTTTCTCAAATTGCTTACACGACTACCTTACTGAGAGATTACCAAAAACTACTAGCGTCTCCTCCGTTTTGTCAAACTGGTTTGCTGTGACAAGTGAATTTCTATTAAGTTCAATAATAGGGACCTCTCTTTGTCCTCTTCACTAACAGATTAACGGGTACTCCTTATCATCGATGTTTTCTACAAACATTTCCACGATTTAAAGATAATTCCAACTTATCAATAAAATGTGAAACTGATGTATGGACACATTGAACAGCTATCGTCACTATTAGATCGATGGTGTTTGTATGTGTATGTACGTATTCTCATTTATCTGTTTCGATATTCCCATTAAATTGAAAGCTATGTCATTGAGTTGAAATCCCTCATTTTTCTTATTTATGACACTTAGTAGTTTTGTCATAATAAATCACCAAAAATAATGTCCACACAAACCCCAGTGACTATTATTTTCACTTCCAATCAATTTATGATATTTCTCGACCATCATACCATGTCATCACGGATGTAACTACTTTACTCTCTATAAATAATTGATTTCATAGTTCACGGTTACTTTCCACCATTAGAGCATTCAGTAATCCATTTCAAAATTAGTAAATACATGACTCTTATGAAATTAGGCAAATAATATGATTTATTCGACCTTATCTTTACATTACATTAGTCGATTAAGTGTTGAATCTAGCATACCAAGGTCAAAATCATTGAAACGTCGTATTCGATAACTAACATTAAACATTCTTCGCAATTTTTCCGTGTATTTCAATGCCTATTTACTGTGGTAAAATTACAGGATTGCAATTGTATTTCACAAAATGTGTACTGTGAAAGAGTGGTACATGTAATATTAACAACTTCCAACTTCTAGTAAATTTATCAAACCGTGTAACATCACTGAAAGGATTAATTTAATAATAAGCACCAAACTAAACGTTTAAAACAAACACAAGGACGAGACATATTCACACTCAATCCACAGAAGAGCAGATGATTCAACTCTTTCTGTTTCAAATCATCTATTTTCCAGGTGTAGAACATAAGTCAAAAGTTTCATAAGAAGTGGAAAAATTAAATATTGCATCAGCCATTCACAATGATAAAAACACACATACTAACTATAAGTACAACGAAGAGATGACAACATAAAACAGAGGATACGGTTCATAAATCACAAGATCTATGCACACATGAACAAAGGAAGTAATAGAGGGACACGTCGCCAAACCATACTGAGCATATAATACCCTTCCTCTCGACGTCCGTGTATTATAACTTACTTACTCATGCCTGTTACTGTTGTGAGCTTATAGGCCTCCGACTAAGGACCTCGGAGCAACTCTTTTTCAGGCTCCTCTTTCAGGTTGTCCCTAAGCGCTATTCACTCTCTTGATATCTACCTACGAATCCCGGCATCATATGTCCTCTGGTATGCTTCTTTTCCTTTTCCTTCGAGGATTCCATATTGAGCCTTGCCCTTTGATGCAGTTTGATGGTTTCCTCAATGTGTATCCTACCCACCTCCAACATTGTTTCCTGATTTTCCTCTCAGTAGACATCTGAATTGTTCTCTACCACAGTCGATTATTGCTAACGGTTTCTGTTCAACGGATCTGTAGTATTTTGCATAGACACCTGCACCTTTTTGGCAATGATGGTAGTAGTTCTCCACACTCCAACTCCGCACAGTAGAACTGTTTAGACGTTGTTGTTGTTGTTGAAATTATGACTTTGGTGTTGTGTGACAGATATTCAATTATAGGAACGTTCACCTGTTTTGGTAATTCATACCCTCATGTCTGCATCAGATACTCCATATTCATCGAATATGCTGTTCAGGCACGTAAAGGCTTCCGCTTCTTCCAGAGCCTTACCACCAAATGTGATTTGATTGGTGCTCGCTGTGTTGTATTTCAGGATCTTGCTTTTCCCTTGTGAATGTTGAAGCCTACTGTTGTGGAAGTTACTGTCATACTGAATATCTTCACCTGCATTTGTTGCTGTCGATGGGATAGGAGAGTCAAGTCATCTTCAAAGTTCAAGTTGTCCAGTTCCACTCAAGTTGTTCACTGTATTCTGTGCTTCTGAATTGTAGAGGTCTCAATAATTGAGTCTACAACCAGCAGAAAGAGAAAAGGCAAAGTAGGCAACCGTGTTTGATACCTGTAGATTTTAAGTCAATAAGTGAGTCTTCTGATGGGGATTCAAAATACATGAACTTCAGGTCTCGTAACAAGTGTTGACTTCAAAACTTTGGGTTGAAACTTAATGGTTCAGCCACATTTTCAACTTCAGTCACTTGATGATAAAGTCGAAATTGCAAATCAGACATGTAGAACTTCTTGGTTTCCAATAATTTTTCATCTCATAGTTACTTTGTAATAAAAGTTATCCTTAAATTTGAATATGTAAGATGAACTTAAAGAACTACAAATCTAATATGAAGTTTGCTTTATTGTCTACAAAATAAAACAAATTTTGCTTGTGGTTAAAAGTAGCAATGGAATTATTTGGGAAAGAAACCACTGTCACATAGTACAGTTAATATATACAATAGACCCAACCCAACAATTCAGAGGGAACTACTAGTAACAAGAAGCAAAAAGTAAATGAAGAAAATACCATATACAATAAATAAATTCACAACTTACAAACTATGCATTTTCAGTCGACAAATTTCATTATTACCATTGTGATTATTCAATGTGATGTTTGATGATGGTGTAGATTTGTTCACGTGGTTTTTTACATCGTCAACAATTTGATAAGCATTTATTGTTTCACTGATCGGCCTCATCAAAGTTTGAGCAGTATGTGTCGTATTTAAAGAGTTAATAGCTTGATAATACTCTGTTGGGAAAAAAGTAGACGTAATAGAAAAGACACAATTAATTTCTATTGGACTATTTTCGTCTTTGGACTAGAATACAGCAGCACCTCTCCTGAAGATACTCTTCTCTATATTGTATCCAATAGGTTTTGCCTATTATTATTATCATAATCATCAACGACATTGACAGTTGCCTCAATAACACCAAGTAAGTGAATTCGGAAATGTGTTCCGTTCGGCTCCGTCTCTCCAATAGTCTGAACGTAAAGTTCTCGCCTCGAGTCCCCTAACTTTTGTTTTTCGGATGACTGATTGATGAAGTCATAGATTCCCACTGCTGATGAGTCCTAACGTTAGATGAGATTTTTTTGAAGAAGACCCTCATTTTCATATGTAACTAATCTCCACAATTTTCTCAATTATGGTACTTCTTTTTTCTCTTTTATTTTACAGATCGACCCAGAAGGCAACCTTTCATTAGTTGTTTGTTGTAAACAATATATATATATATATATATATATATATATATATATATATATATATATATATATATATATATATATATATTCAGGCAAATAAGAAAGTGACGCATCCTTATTTCATCATGACACTTTATTTTATCGTCATTCAGTTCACGTTCTTTTTCGTCCTGTTATTTGCCTCTTGTTTGTTTGATAGTGCTCTCTGTTTTATATTTTTCTCTTTCTCTTTCAAACACACATATTTATTAATGTACACAAGTTTACTCGTTTTGTTTTTTAATGTTAATTCATGTCTTATGCACACATCATTATTTTCAATCTTTACTTTGTGGTGTAACTTCACTTCTAGAATAATTACCCATGTATTAATGGTTTCATTACACGCACTTGACAGTCCTTTTTATTGTTTTTATTCGACGAAATTCCTGTTTGATTGTTTGGAAAAGTGGTTTGTAATTATTTATTATTGTTGTTATCTTGTTTGTTGTTGTTATTGTTAAGTTTCTCGATAACAGTGAAGAAACCATCTATTTTCTTTGGATAAGCCATATCTACCTGCCGGTCTCTCTCCCTCAATTTTTGCTGTTGATCCGTTTTTTTCATCAGGGAGTTCAAAACAAGGAGACACCAACAGAGAACTGATGGTGTTCGTTATATAGTTTTATCCAATCTTGTTATTTTTCGTTTCACCTATGTGATCTGGCCTATTAATTTGCTATGATATTAAAAATTCTGTAGAAGACTGACTGATAAATATCCACTCATTATTACTGTAGTAATAATTATTATTTTCATCGTTGCTGTATATCCATATCCCAAAGATATTAGCTTCTGTAACCATTACAATTGTCTTCAGTCTACTTCATTTAGTCACCTGTTTTCTCATTTAGTTCTGTATATCTTCTTCAATAAATTTAGAAAAATCAGTGTTAGTTCATTTCTTCACAATGATTTCAGATCAACTCTTCGATCTGTGTAAAAAACACCCCAACTGTAAATTATGGAAGCACATTATGTATATACGTACAATTCACTTGTTACTGTTTGTATTCGTTACTAGTATTGTTTTTGTTTTTCAGAATTTTCTTCATCGTAATTGTGCCTAGTTTACCAGCTATGTATTTCCTTTATATATCGGATTTGTATACTTCTATAAATTACTTAGTGTTTGGTTGATTTTTGTTTATAAATAAACACTTGAATATACTTAGTTATTCATTTTATCTCTCCATGGAATAAAATTTCAATTAAGATCATGAACCGATCGTCTTTAGATGACCAACAAAAGCCTAAGAGCATTGGACGACCGTTTTGTCTTAGTATGGGACCCCTCAGCAATATGCGTCCACGACCCTGCATGCGAAAATCGAACCTAGGACCTTCGGTCTCGCCCACGAACGCCTAATCTCTAGACAACTGAGCGGAAATACAACGGTGTTAATGTTCATGATCTCAATTAAAAGTCAACAATCTCCCCGACCATATATTGGAAAATGCAATTATTTTGGGCTTTTACTAGCCCAGCTTTTTCGGGAGTCTAGATACCAGTAACTTCAGTATTTTTGTCTTGAATCAGATTACTCATGAGTAGTCAACGTGAAATTACAAAACATTTGTGCCGGAAGTTTTTCTGCGTTGAACACTGCGTCCTACCACGCTTAGAAATTATTAACGAAGATGATATTAGATTCAACGCCATACCAGTGTAATAAAGTGTCTTATTGAATCTGATTAGTTATTGGGCATCACGGAGTATTTTTTCACTATATTCTGAAACTAATTCTATTTATTCGTGAATTTTCTCACGATAGAATCCTGGACATATTTCATTGATTGGTATTTCCTGCGATTGTACGTATTTTCAATGGGACAAACGTATGATTATTAAAATTGTCTAACCTTCTTCAAAAGTATTAATACCACAAAACTGAAGCATATGTTACGTATTATCAATAACATTTAAAGTGTCGTCTTCAAATTGTTCATTTTGCTAATGTATAGTTGTCAGTTCCACACAATTCATTCGAAGTTGAGTAGTTAAAGGATCATATTGGATTACATAAAGTTTTATATTCCCCTAGTGTCGGTTTAAATTACTGATGTGTGGGCGAGAATGATAATGATTGGTTGTCTGCTTAGTCAGATATGCAGATAGTCCGACAAGTGTTAGATGAGTTATATATTCCCCTATCATTATTATTTACTTTATTATTATTATTATTGTTATTATTATTATTGAATGTTCATTGTTGTTGGGTTGTGTCGGGTTTTTGGTGTGAAATATATTTACGTTCTAGTCAGGCTAATCACGTGTTCTTGATCTGAGTTGTGTTGAAGTCCTGTAGAATAAACACTGGGAGGGAATCTAGTATAGATATTCGTTTTACGTTTTACGGCTAATCAGTAAAACATAACAGTTGCTTACTATTACTTTTGTCAGAAAACATTCCATCAAAACTTTACTGTTTACCTGATAGTTTATTATTGTTTATGATATTTCCAATTTTTATCAAAACTCATCCCATCACTTTTTACGGATAGGAAGAAAGATTTATCTGGGCGAACATATATCAACTGACCACGGGGTGTAATAAAAAATATATTATCTAAATAAAGAGTTCATAATAATTAGCGTAAATTGTCATCTGCTTTTCAAAAAAAGATACTTTATATAACATCAAGAAAACCACCTGCGTCTAATCCATCATATGTTTTATTACTACAAAATTTGCCGTTATTTGAATTTGTTCGATTATTTCATGCTGAAATTACTTTACCATTTGGAATGACGGGAAGCCTACTCTATACTATGTTTTGCAGCTCGGATGCGATCAAGGGTGAGTTTGACCACCAGTTGACAGTTCTTCTATAGAAACTGCGCGCGACATGTATTGAAGTACTAGCCGGAGAATGCTCAGTTCGGGCGTCTAGGCACAGAAGACACTTATTTAGGTGGCCGATCTGAACTTGTTGGTCGCCAGTCAGATAACGGGGACCATCTACTGCAACTGTGCGCAGACTACGACGTGTTTCTGGCTAGCACTAACTACCGGCACAGTAATCACCTATGTGTTACCTGGCTTTCTCCCTCTGTATCTTAAGCCTGGACTCAGATTGATCACACCGTGATCAGCTACGACTTGTGTGGTTGTGTACAAGACTGTCGCTCCTTTCGGAGTACCTATCTGGGTTCTGATCGTGCCCATATTTGCGCTAATCTTACCTTACGTTTCAGTGATCAACAAATTCATTGTCCTAAACGGATCGATGTCATTAAATTGGTTTCAGCTTCTTTTGCAGTTAAATATCAAACCGCGCTAGGATCAGGGTTAGTTACCATTCCACCGAAAAGTATAGATGAGCATTGTTTGCAATTGCATGACGCCATGAAAATGGCGGTTGAAGTTGCATTCAGCTTCGCGAAACGTCCCTCTTATAAGCACGGGGTTTCTTCTGGCTCCTTATAACTCATTGAAGTACATTAGTCTACTCCGGGTGATTGCAAGTTCGACTACACACGAAGACTGTTACGTAATGAAATTGGGCGAAGCTTGTGTAAGGACCGAGAAGCCTGGTGTTCGGAGCGTGCTGATGAGTTGGAAGCAGCAGCTGCATCTGGTAACTGCGTAAGCTCTTCCAACTCACAGGCTGCAAAAAGTTTGGTTTGAGCGAAACAATCTGTGAAGATGACGGGATGCCAGTCAATAGCATCTATAGACGTCTTGAACGATGGGCAAAGTTTTTCGAGGGGCAGTTCAACTGGTCTGGTACCCTAGCAACATTAATCAGACTGTCCTACCCTATATGAGATGTGATGACTGATCCACCAAACGAGGCAGAAGTCCTCAAGGAACTCCAAGTCTTGAATGGCTACAAATCACCAGACCCAGATGACTTACCTCCGACCCTATTTAGAGATTGTGGTGACTTTCTCATTCAGGAACTGACTGAGTTGCTTGCAAAAGTTTGGCAGTTAGAGAGTGTTCCAGCATTAAGGAGGGAGTCGATAGTTGTCCCTATCTTTAAAAAGGGTTCACGTTGTTCCTGTAACAACTATCGGGGGATAAGTCTACTTCCGATTGCATTCAAGCTTGAAAAGAGCAAGAACAAAGATTCTAGCAGAATGGTATGAATTCATTTTATTTCGTAGGTTCTCGTCAGCTGCTTACAACCTGTGATATTTAAAAATCATAATTACATAATGGGTTTAAATTGCTAACTGAATATTGTAAATATATACCTAATGTGAAAGAATATTCTACAACATTAATTGTGACAGCAGTTCAAAAGTGGGTTAGAAACAATCGATTACATAATGAATAACATTGAAGGAATGTAGTGAGTAGAGTTCAGTTGAAAGATTATTAATTTGAAAGATGGTTGAAAAAAATAAAATAGAGTCAATGATGTAATAAATGCAAAAGAGAAAAAATAGAAAATAAAATGAAATTTTATGGTGTAGTGAAGGAGTATTTGTCATCAGGGCAAGGAAAGATTAACCACCGTCTCCTTTTGAATACATAGGTCAGGTTTTTGACGCCTGATGGCAATGGCTTCAGCAAACTTCAGAAGACTGGAGTTTGACTGCTTACTAATCACCCTAAAGGATTGTAAGGTATCTACCTGATGTCCTGTATCAAGGAGATGTTTGGTGATTGCACTGTTCAGAGTCTTCCTTTCTCTTGTTCTAAGACTTTTTGAAACATGTTCAAAGAATCTAAGATATGCTCTCCTTTCAGTTCGGCCGATGTAGCTGCTTTGGCAGGTACACGTAAATTTCTAAATACAGTTGGCGGTAACCTGAAAGGGTTGCTTGTCGATCTTTGATTGAGTTATTGAACATGTTGTTTTATAGAGAATTAAAAGTTTAGCAGCCGGATAAGTTCTGGTTATCGCTGTATTCAGTCTCTTGTTGATAATTTGTGCGACGTCATCACCTTTAAAGTTAAGATTTATATATACTGGTTTTTTATTGACCATAGTTATTTCCGTCCTCTTT